AAATATCTGATGAAGCTCTACCAACTCCTAATTTTCTTCTCGAATATTCAGCATCCCATGGCAAGGTGGGAAACCCTCACCACATCTCTAATTATGCACCGTAAGTCGATAATCATACGCAGCACACTTTCTGAAGAGTTCTTGACTTCCGCTAAATTTCTCATGGATCAAATGCAATTAGAGTTTATTCCACAAAATTCACTTTTATCAAAAAAAAAAAATTAAAAACGAATAATTTATAGATAAAAAAAAATCAGATGAATTTTTCGAATTCTTTTGTGGAAATCAATATATTAGGGATTAGAGTAATAAATAAAAAACGATTTAAAAGTGAAAAAGAATCATGTGTGTTAATAATTTGAACGCTATGATGTAGGGTCACGTGACCCTCCTTGAGAGTGGAATCATGTCACGCCTATCCAAATAGAAATCTGCCAGGTGTCCTTTTTCGTGTATCTAAGGTTTCAGGTCAGTTTTGACCAGATCTATTAATGCCATTAGAATTTCTCTCTGACCATGACTTTTTTCATGGTGTATTATGCCTCATCGAATCTTCCCCTTGTTGAAAAGTCTTTTCTATAAAGTATATATATATATATATGAAAGATGATTTTCTATATATATATACTAACAGGAGAGAATATTGCCAATAGTCACCATCTGACAAATTTGAGAAAGACGAGCAAAGTGGTTATTCGGAAGGGACAACAAAATTTTAGCATCTTTTCCTCATCTCATTGTGGACCACCGACAGCGAGAAGGACTCGCGAGCCAAAACCACATGATTGGCTGTTTGTATTCATTTCATTTTAATTTAGAGAGAAAACTCATGACAAATTGTTTATTTACCTGAAAACTATCTTTACACACAAAAGACACATTATTTCGAAAAATTTCTCAAATTGCCAATAACTGAAGAAATTTCTTTGAACGAAAGAAAAAATTTTATTTTATAAATTTTTCATTTGAAAAAAATTTTTTTTTGCAATACATGAATTTAAAAACAGCAATTTTGTTGAATTAAAAAATGAGATATGTTTTTAAAGAAAACTATTTTTTTTAAATGAAGCTACGCTTGAAATCGTTTAATTATCCTTCCAAAGAGAGCAAGGGGAAACAATTGGAGCATCCAGTAAAAATTCTGTTTTTCGCGAATTCAAAATTCCCCAGGAAATTGATGATCAAAGTGGTTTAGCTTATTTCACTCTCTACAAAATTTAAAAAGTTCAAAAGAGAATTTATATTTTTTTTTGCATGTTTATATGCTAAAAGTAAATAGTTCTTTTCGACTATTTTAGCAAAAAAAAAAAAATTATTTTTGTCAATTTTTTTCTCTCATCACGAGAAAAAAAAATTATCATTTAGCGGTAATTTCTTTTTAATTGCTTTAGGAGAGCTATTAAAATGTAATTCAAAATGTTTAGCAAGTCGCGGTTACATTTGCGGTCTTTTTGTATAATTGGTTTAACAGCTTGACACGATAATTTTACATTACGCGTTACACCAAGAATTTATCTACCTGGTAGTTGGAGTGACTAATTGATTAAATTTACGAAGTTGAATTTATGATCCCTCTTTGCAGCTGTGGAAATTTCTGACCTCTATCTCTCATTCACTATATATATATAGGTTCATACTATATGCGTATATACAACTGAAAAACTAGAAATGACTGTTACAACTTTACATAAAGAGCAAAATTGACAAAATGCTTTTATAATTCGTCACGCAGAATTTTGGAAAAATCTCAATGCGATTTCATGGCCCTTGACACAAGGGCTTTTTTTTCTTTTTCAAGTAGAGGCACAAGTTTAAATAGCCTTCAATGGATTGACAGATGAAAATCAAATTTTACAATGTATTTGTTAATAAAAATTCACTTTTTTCAAATATTAAGAAATTTTATTTAACAATTATAATTTTTAAAAAATGTCTAATTGTGATTGTCAAATTAATTACCAATTAACGTTTATGTAATAAATTTAACAAAATTTAAAAAATTTGTTTCAGAGAACTGAACAGCGAATGTAATTAATTTATACCAAAAAGCCAAAAGGACTCTTTAGAAAACCATTATTTATATCAATTAATTAATTTTCAGCTTTATATCCCTCGAATGCGGGACACTTTAAGTTTTATACAGAGAGAATATTTGCAGTCATTGAATTTGTAAAAAAAAATGCTTTACGTGTGTGAGGCGAATTACAAAAAAAAAAAAATAAAAATTCACTTTAAAGCATGTTTTAAGAGAAGTGGGAAACCGTGTAGTAGTTGCCATAATAAAATGCGCGAGTGTGCCCTTTTTAAATTACTGCTTTAAATGTTTACAACTCTCAAAAAGTTATTGCTCGTTAAACAGCACTTCGATTAATTTTTTTTTTAATTTAAAACAACGAAATTGAATCAAAAATATGTAGAAAGTAAAAATAAAAAGAAACCCTAAAATCTAATAATCAATTAAAAAGGACCACTCGACCATATTTTTTTTAAAAAAAAGCTTCATAGATTTTTGTTTAGTGCATTGAAGTTTAAATCCGAGTTAACATTCTGTTTATTCTGGATTTAGTCTGGAAATTGCAGAGAAAACTAGGGCACTACTCAGACCAAGTGATTATATGCATTTTTTTTACAAAACGAGATTCATGATGGCTGCTTTCTAAATAGGTTTACTAATTAACTTTTATTGAAAAGTTAAAACAGAAGAGTTTAAATTAATTAATATAAATTAATTACTAATAGTAATTTAATAATGAATATAAAGTAAATTAAATTACAACCGATTGTTTGGTTTTTAAAAATGTTTTTTGTGATATAGAAATGAAGATTTGATTTTTTATATAAAAAACATATTTAATTTAAAGCTTCTTATTCTACGCGGTGACAAAGAAATAAAAATTTGTAGTTTCGCCTGAGATCGTTAAGACGCTTAGAAATGGGAATTAAGTTTGAAAAAGTGTCCTGCGTTCGAATCTCCTCAACGTTAAATTTTTTTGTAAATATTAATTTGTATTTTTTAAGTAAAAATCATCTAAAATCTAGTTTTTAGCTCACAAAAATACAAATTAAATTAATAAAAATGTGGTTTATATAACATATTCAGAATTTCTAATAAATTCTACTCAAAGGGACATTAAAGGTAGTTTTACTTTATAAATTCAATATTCATGCATCTCTGAAATTGAAATGCTTTTGCAAATCAAAGATTATCGTGAAATTCAAGAAGTACTCTCTCTTTAAAAAAATATTGCATATTAAAATAAAAATGTTTTAAAAAACTAAGATTTCTTTTTCTATTAATCCCCGCATATAAAATTGAAGAGGATATTTAGAGAAGAATGAAAATGCGCAATGATGGGAACACACTAATGAAATTGATGCTCGTATGACTGCCTCTTCGAATTCCCGAACGAAGAGAAAAGTAGTTATTGCGCCGTACGATTTAACCGGAGTCTCTAATGTAAAATCAATAATGACGATAAGTGTTAAGTCACGTACATCTTCTGCGAAGCTGATGTTCTTTCAACGCAAAAAAAAACAGTTTCCCAACTTCTTCAATTTTTATGCGAGCAAAAAAAATCCGTAGCCTAATTACTTTTTTTTATCAATTGAAGTCTTTTTGAAAGATACCTTTTTTCAAAACCTATTAGAAGTAAAACCTTAAAGTTTATTTGATTCAAAGTGAAAAAAACCACTTTATATAAAAAAAAGTAATTTTTTTATAAAAATAAAACAGTAAATAAAAAGAGAAAATCTTAGCTTAATTAGCAGTAATTTTCCTCCTCAATAAAAAGTAACCAAGAAGCTTAATAAAAGAAGTAATAAAATAAGTAAGTAAATGAAAGAAGCGATTCTCATTTCTCAAGTTCCAAGTCATAAACTACTGTATAAGAGAGAATGTATAAAAGAGAAAAATGGCGCGCGTCCTGATCTTTACTTTTATTATATTCAAACTGGCCAGATGTTCATAGTGACCAAACGTAGTATAGATTTCATTCACAAAAGTTTGTACTCCTTGGAGTCACATTGTCACCTGGAGTACCTGTAACCTAGTCCTCCCCTCCTTTTTTTTCATCTTTCCACGTAAAATTCAAATTTCTCGCTCAAAAGTCATTTTCGAAAGGAGATTCCAATTGTCGTTACAATGAACCAGCCAAGTGTAGAGATATTGAGGCTCACACACACAAACTATGGTCCATTCACAAAAAAGCTCTCGAGATGTTTTCTTCGATGCTTGACCCAAGGCCAAAACGCATCCAAGAGTTCTGTTTCATTCAAGAATAGAATGAATGGATGGGGTACTCGTAGGCGTTTGCTATGGAGTAATATATCCCAGCGGGATATCACTGTGGGTGTTTTGCAATGAAAAAAAAGTCTCTCAAAATGTATAACATAAGAAAACCCATGCTTCATGCAGGTGAAGACGAATATTATATATGTATATATAACCTGTCTCGTTTTCCTTATATATACACTCTCTATTTGCTTCTTAAGAATATCAAATGAACCTGAAAAGCCTGCGAATGTACAAATTCACCCCTCCAACACTCCTTTTCATCTCAGCACTTTCATTTAAACGATCCTTTTTCAAGTGCATTTTCGTTGTGCTGGATTTTTCAAGCATTGAAAATTTAAATTATCTTCAGAAATTTATTTCAAGAGTATTTTTACAAAAATTTTCTTTTTATAATTTAATAATTATTTTTTCAAAATTAATTTCTTACAAAAAAGGATTGGACAAGTTGTAAAAAAAAATTTTCAAAATGTTTTTAAAATTTTTACGAGATGAGTAAGTTTACTGCATCAAATTCAAACATACTTTAAAGTAGTGACCAATAACTTGGAAATATTATTATACATGTAAATTAATAAGGAAGTGAAAATCGAATATTAGAAAATATAATTCAAAATATATATTGTAAATGATATGAGTTATCGGTCCAAATTTAAAAAAATTATTTAAACCACTGAGAATTTAAATAATGGCTTTTTATATTGACTTAATATAATTACTTCAAAAAGTGAGTCGTTAAAATTTACAAAGCAATAGTATGTTATTATTTAATATCTTTTCTTTGCTTTTTATTCTTTATAATCAAGTAAGTAAATACAAAGAAATTTCTTTAATTAATTTTAATTGTTTAAAAAAATATTTTTAAAAATTGACATTCAATAATTTGATTCAATACTTGGTTTTCAACTGAATTAGGCATATTGGATATCATCTCTTCTGCCGCAAAAATATATTTCCTCTTTAACATGCAACTTAACTTATACAACGTTATTATCAACATTTAAGCAACTAAATCCAGATGAAAATATTCTACAGGTAAATCGAAAATTAAAAATCCGAAAAATAACATTGAAATAATAATTTTGAGAATATATACAAATAATAAAAAAAAAATTATTTCATATGTTTTTAGAAACTAGAAAAAATACCAGAAGATGTTGATTTTATTATAGTTGGGGCAGGATCAGCAGGATGTGTCCTCGCCAATCGATTATCAGAAAACAAAAGTTGGAATGTAGATATCAAATTTAAATTAAACAAAACAAAATTTAAAAACGAAACACGTATAATTTTCATAATTTTCTATAGGTAATTTTAATTGAAGAAGGTGGAGAGGAGCCTTTAATAGCCAGTATACCAGCATCACTTCCAGCTCTTGAAAAAATTAGTCGACATTATCAAACCATATCAGATGGAAATTTTTGTTTGGCAAACAATGGATGTAATTACATTTCGGGAAAGGTAACTATTTAATAAAGTAAAAATTTAATTAATTTGAATTTAATAATATTTTTTTGACAAGGTAATGGGTGGAACAAGTAGCATAAACGGCATGTTGTATGTGAGAGGTAACAAAGAAGATTTTGACAATTGGGCAAAAATGGGAAATCCAGGTTGGAGGTATGAAGAAGTATTGCCTTACTTCATTAAATCAGAAGACAATAGGGATAAAGATGTAAGTGATAACAAATAAACCGAATGATAAAATCATCTTTAATTATAATTAGTTAGAAATATTAAAGATATTTATATAAATAAGGATTTATAATTTTATATCTAACAATAAAAATACTAACTTCAGGTCCTAAAAAAATCCTTTTAATTTTTAGATTGTAAGAGAAAATCCCGGATATCATGGAATCGGAGGCTATCAGTCATTAGAAAGATTATCATACAAAGACCCAATTGCAAATAATCTTCTCAAAGCTTTACGAGAGATTGGCTATAATGACACAGACTTGAATGGAGCCAATCAAATAGGATCAATGCACGCTCAAGCAATTGCGAAAGATGGTTCAAGAGCAAGTGCAAATGTTGCCTTCATTAGACCAATTAGAGAAAAGCGTTCAAACTTATTAATCAGAACTAATGCTCGAGTAATCAAAATTATAATTGATACAGAAACAAAAAGAGCCATTGGTGTAGAATTTATATCAACAAAAACCGGAGCTACAAAAGTGGTAATGGCAAGGAAGGAAGTGATTGTATCCGCAGGTACCATTGAATCAGCAAAATTATTAATGATCTCTGGAATAGGTCCTCGGGATGAACTCCAAAAACACAATATTAACGTCGTACAAAATTCACCCGTTGGACAAAATCTACAGGATCATGTAACATTCATGGGAATTCGCTACAAACTACAAGAAGGTGAATTTTTATACAATCCTGATTGTGCAATAAGACAATTACATTTAAACGAGTATTTAAAATTCAAAAATGGTCCATTTTCATCAGTGGGCATACCTCATGCAACTGCATTTTTACAATCTCACCTTGTACCAAATTCATCTGCTCCAGACATACAGTTCATATTTCTACCTAATACTACATCAACTGATAGTTGCATGTACTACAATAGTTTCTATCAAAAAATAATTTTATTATCTCCCAAGAGTAGAGGCTACGTGAAACTCAATGAATCCGATCCATTTTGGGGAAATCCTGTAATCAATTTTAAATATTTTTCCGATAGTTCAGATTTGGAACGAATAATTAAAGGAAATCAAATAGGATTAAAATTGATAAATACAACAGCAGTGGGAGAAAGTATTTTTAAATTTGATACAACTCCTCTAACAAATTGTGAACAATATGAATTTAATACGGAAAATTATTGGCGATGTTCAGCGGTGAATTACACAACATCATTGTATCATTCATCTGGAACTTGTAAAATGGGTCCAAGGAATGATTCTGAAGCTGTTGTTGATGCGAGATTACGAGTTTATGGAATTAAAAGTTTACGAGTGGCTGACGCTTCAATTATGCCATTTGTAACAAGAGCAAATTTACATGCTACAATTATGATGATTGCCGAGAAAGCTGGCGCTATGATTAAAGAAGACTGGACTTAGTTTTTATTTCTTCTTGAACAAATACTTATATTTATTTATTCTAAAGTATTAAAAATACGTTCTAAAAAATTATTCCTAATTATTTTGAATAAAAACAAAAATATTAATTTTCAAAATATAAAATTAATAATGATAAAAATTCTGAATTGTTTTCGGAAACAAAAAACTTTATTTTTGTTGTGATAATTTTTTATTCTTCTATAATTTTCATGAATCTGGAAAATAATGCACTTCGGAATTGTAAATTAGACTAGTTTTTTTAAAGTAGAATAAATTATAAATTATAAAGAATAATTCTTACCATATCTAAAAATTTAAATATGACTTTTTATAAGCTGACTTAATATGATTACATGAAAAAAAGTTAGTTAAAATTTAAAATTGATATATAGAAGCAAAATGTTGTTGTTTAATATTTTTTCTTTTCTCTTTATTCTTTATAATCAGGTAAGTGTTTGGAGGGATAAAATATGTTTCACAATTACTAAAAAATTTTTATCTTTAGGCAAATTGGTTATCGTCTCTTTTAACTGAGAAGTATATTTCCTCAACATGTAACTTATCTTACACTACATTATTATCAAAGTTTAAGCAACTAAATCCAGATGAAAATATTCTACAGGTAATAAATACGTATAACAAAAACTAATAAAATTAAAGTATTTCAAAAAATTGTATGAAATATAAAACTTGTAAATATTTTTCCAGAAATTAGAAAAAGTACCAGAAGATGTTGATTTTATTGTAGTAGGAGCAGGAACTGCGGGATGCATCCTCGCCAATCGATTGTCAGAAAACAAAAGTTGGAGTGTAGATACATATTAAATGATACATTTTTTTCTAAAATAACTTTGAATCACTTGAGGAGAATTTGGAAATTTTTTATAGGTGCTTTTACTCGAAGAAGGCGGAGAGGAACCATTAATAGCCAGTATACCAGCATCACTACCGGCTCTTGTAGAAATTAGCCGATATTATAAAACCTTATCAGATGAAAATTCTTGTTTGGCAAACAATGGATGTCTTTACATTTCGGGGAAAGTAACTAATAAAATGTTTATTTATTAAAGATTAATTAGAGCAAACAAAATAGATCAATAGAATTGTAAAAGAGATTTTATTCTTCAGATAAACTATATATTTCTGCTTAGGTAATGGGTGGAACGAGTAGTATTAACGGTATGATGTATGTCAGGGGTACCAAAGAAGATTTTAATACTTGGGACAAATTAGGAAATCCAGGCTGGAATTTTAATGATGTATTACCGTTTTTTATAAAATCAGAAGAGAATAGAAATAAAGATGTGAGTACCAACTAATAAAATTAGAAACAAGAACTTCTAGCTATTTGTTAAAAAAAAATTATGTCATTTAGATTGTAAAACTGAATCCCGGATATCATGGAACTGATGGCTACCAATCAATACAAAGATTACCATACGAAGACCCAATATCAACTACTCTTCTCAAAGCCTTACGAGAAATTGGACTTAATGATACAGATTTTAACGGAGCAAATCAAATCGGATCAATGCGAGCGCAAGCAACATCAAAAGACGGTACAAGAGCAAGTACAAATGTTGCTTTTCTTCGACCAATCAGAAAAAAGCGATCAAACTTATTGATCAGAACTAATTCTCGAGTAATGAAAATTATGATCGATACGGAAACAAAAAGAGCAATTGGTGTAGAATTTACATCAACAAAAACAGGAGCCACAAAAGTGGTAATGGCAAGAAAGGAAGTGATTTTATCTGCAGGTACCATTGAATCAGCAAAATTATTAATGCTCTCTGGAATAGGTCCTCGGGATGAACTCCAAAAACACAATATTAACGTCGTACAAAATTCACCCGTTGGACAAAATCTACAGGATCATGTAACATTCATGGGAATTCGCTACAAACTACAAGGAGGTGAATTTTTATACAATCCTGATTGTGCAACAAGACAATTACATTTAAACGAGTATTTAAAATTCAAAAATGGTCCATTTTCATCAGTAGGTGTAATACATTCTACAGCATTTTTACAATCACACCTCGAACCAAATTCAACCGCTCCAAACATACAGTTTTTATTTCAGTCAAACGCCACTTCACCCGACAGTTGTATGTACTACAATAATTTTTATCTAAGAGTAGTTTTATTATCTCCCAAGAGTAGAGGCTACGTGAAACTCAATGAAACTGATCCATTTATGGGAAATCCTATAATTAATTTTAATTTTTTCTCGAATAGTTCCGATTTGGAAGAATTAATAGAAGGTACTCGACTAGGATTAAAGTTAGCAAATACAACAGCAGTAAAAGAAAGTATTTTCAAGTTTGATTCAACTCCTCTAACTGGTTGTGAACAATATGAATTTAATACGGAAAATTATTGGCGGTGCAGTGCGGCACAATACACTGTATCTTTGTATCATTCATCTGGAACTTGTAAAATGGGTCCAAGGAATGACTCTGAAGCTGTTGTCGATGCGAGATTACGAGTTTATGGAATTAAAGGTTTACGAGTTGCTGATGCATCAATTATGCCATTAATAACAAGAGCAAATCCACATGCTACAATTATGATGATTGCCGAGAAGGCTGGCGCTATGATCAAAGAAGACTGGATTTAATTTTTATTTTTATCTGAACAAATATTTTGTTTCTCTTAAATTATAATTTATCTTTTATATTCCATTGAATGCTATTTATTAATTTACACATTAGTTATATGTAATTAATAATATAAATTCAATACAGATAAGCTTCTGAAATTACAATATTGTACGTTAAACAAATTTTAATAAAGAGAAGAAGATTGAAACTTATTAAGACCATTCCATTTTTTAGTCATAGATTTTTTTAATTTAGAATGTGCATAAGAATTTTTTTTTATCAGACACGTGAAACTGTACTTTTCATTTCATTGCATTAATTTCAATCATTCTGGGAAATAATTTATTTCGGAATATTTAGATTAGTTAAAATAATTTTTTGAAATAGTAGAATGATTTAACTGACTAAATTAAAGCATAATTCTTACTACATGTAAAAATTTAAATGTTATTATTAACGCTGACTTTTACTGTAAAGAAGAAATAAATGACAGTTGAAATTTAAAATTGATAAGAAAGCAATATGTTGTTGTTTAATATTTTTTCATTGCTGTTTATTCTTTATAATCAAGTACGTTAAAGAAATACTTTTCAAAAAAAATTATCTATAATAATAATGATGATATCGAGTGATAAATTCAAAATAATATTAATTATCTATATTTGTTTTTTAAAGTCGCTTTTCTAATACTAATTTTCTGAATTAGGCATCATGGATAACATCAATATTATCGAGTCATTATGTTTCGTCAGTAGCATGCAATTTGACTTTCACAGGATTAATATCACTTTTCTCTCATCTAAGTCCAGACGAATATCTTTTACAGGCATGTAATTTAATTGTTAATTAAAGAGATGATTATCAACCATCTAAATAATTTTTAAATTTTTAGCGATGGCGAAAGGTACCAGAAGAGGTCGATTTTATTATAATAGGAGCAGGATCCGCTGGCTGCGTCCTTGGAAATCGATTGTCAGAAAATAAAAAATGGAGTGTAAATAAATATTGAATAGTGTGTTCACTAGAAATAATATAAATTAAAATTAAATAATTATTATAATTAAAATAGGTACTTTTGCTTGAAGAAGGTGGAGAGGAACCTTTAATGGCCAGTATACCAGCATATTATTTAGCTCTAAAAAATCTACAAATTATTCGAGCTTACAAAACTGTGAATGATAGTGAATCTTGTCTGAATGGATGTTTTTTGATTAGTGGCAAAGTAATGAATTAACAAGTAATGTTTACAAATCATTGTATCTCAATATTTTAATAATAATTTTTGATATTAGGTAATGGGTGGAACAAGTAGCATAAACGGAATGATGTACGTTAGAGGTAACAAAGAAGATTACGACAACTGGGCTCGTTTAGGAAATCTAGGCTGGAGTTTTAATGATGTATTACCGTTTTTTATAAAATCAGAAGACAACAGGGACAAAGATGTGAGTATTAATACGAAACACAGGAAAAAATATTAATTCGAATCCCAATTAAAATTGATTCAAATATAAAATTCAAATATTTGTATGATGATTCATTTTATAAAGGTATAAAATTTTAATTTATTTCCAGATCGTAAAATCACATCCAGGCTATCATGGAACTGGAGGATATTTGTCAGTTCAAAGAATGCCCTATATAGATCCACCAGCAAAAATTTTACTTCAAGCACTACAAGAAATTGGCTACAATGGTACGGATTTCAATGGGGAAAATCAAATTGGATCAATGCAAGTGCAAGCAACATCAAAAGATGGCTCTCGTATGAGTGCAAATGCTGCCTTCATTCGACCAATAAGAGAAAAACGACGAAATTTATTTATCAGAACTAATTCCCGGGTGGTGAAAATCATTATTGATACAGAAACAAAAAGAGCCATTGGTGTGGAATTTATATCAACAAAAACAGGAGCATCTCGAATTGTGATGGCAAAAAAAGAAATTATTGTATCTGCAGGTGCCCTAGAATCTCCAAGATTATTAATGCTATCTGGAATAGGTCCAGCGGATGAACTCCAAAAAAATGGTATTAACATCGTACAAAATTTATCCGTTGGACAAAATCTTCATGATCATGTATCCTTTTATGGAATTCATTATCAAATACCTGGACTAACAGAAAATCCAAGTTGTCTGACAAGACAAACTCACTTGAATCAGTACATGAAATTTAAAAATGGTCCACTTGCCTCCGTAGGTGTTAGTCACATTGTTGTATTTGGACAATCAAATTTTTCACAAAATTCAACATTATCAGATATAACAATAGCATTTTCTCCCAATACAACTGCAATTGATGGTTCCATTTATTACAATAATTATCATCAAGGATCATTTTTATTAACACCAAAAAGTAGAGGTTACGTAAAACTGAATGCAACTGATCCAATTTGGGGAAATCCAATAATTAATCCCAGATATTTATCAGACGAGTCAGACATGAATCTTTTATTGGAAACACCTAAAATTGGTATACAATTAAATAATACAAGAGCATTTAGGGAAAATTATATCAAACTTGATGAAACACTATTAGCAGGTTGTGAAAATTTTCAATATAATACTAATGATTATTGGCGATGCACGGCAAGAAGATACACGCAGAACTATTTTCACTATGTTGGAACTTGTAAAATGGGTCCAAGGAATGATTCGGAAGCTGTTGTTGATTCTAGATTACGTGTTTATGGAATTAGAGGCTTAAGAGTTGTTGATGCTTCTATAATGCCAGTTATACCTCGTGCAAATACAAATGCACCAACAATTATGATTGCCGAAAAAGCTAGCTCAATGATCAAAGAAGACTGGGTGTTAATAAATAATTTGTAATTCAGTAAATTATTGTCAATAAATCTTATATAAAAAAGATTTAAATTTTCATAACTCTATAATTAAATTCGGAATTTATAGTTCAAATTTTTTGTAAGCGCAGTGAGCTATTTGACTAGTAAATAATGTAACTATTAAAATTTATTTAATTTATATTTACGTCAACAATTAAAAATTCTAATATGTTTTTTTAATGCTTATACTAAAAACGTAAATGAAAGTCAGTTGCTATTCAATATTAGTATAGAAGCATTATGTTTTTGTTAAATATATTTTCTTTGCTTTTTATTCTTTATAATCAAGTAAGTAAATAAAGAAATGAGATATAAAATTCTTTAAAATGCAATTATCGTTTTGAAAATTGTAATTATTTTCTTTAAGTTTTTTTAATATAATTTACTTTAAAATACCACTGGTTTTTATCGCCTAATATCTTTAAAACTTTGAATTACTTTTGTTCAAAACTTAATTTCCATCTGAATTAGGCACATTGGTTATCGTCTCTTCTGACGGAGCAGTATGTTTCCTCTTTAGCATGCAACTTAACTCATACTACAATATTATCAATGATTAAGAATTTCAATCCAGATGAAAATATTCTACAGGTAAATGTAAAATAAAAAAAATCCTGAAAAATAACTTTGCAATAATTCACAGAATTTACAAGCAATAAGAAATTTTATTTTATGTTTTTAGAAACTAAAAAAAGTACCAGAAGAGGTTGATTTTATTGTAGTTGGAGCAGGATCAGCTGGATGTGTCCTTGCCAGTCGATTATCAGAAAACAAAAGTTGGAGTGTAGATATAAATTTTAAATGACAATTTCTAAAAATAATTCATGGAAAAATTGAAGAAATAAAATTTTCTTAATAGGTACTTTTGCTCGAAGAAGGTGGAGAGGAACCTTTAATAGCCAGTATACCAGCATATTACCTAACTAATATAAATTTACCATTTGCTAAACATTATAAAACAGTGACAAATGGCGAATTTTGTTTAGCAAATAATGGATGTTTGTGGCTTGCTGGCAGAGTAATTAACAACAGTAGTTTATTTTGAAATCGAAAGTATTTTTTTGCTTTATTCTAAATAAATTTTTTATCAGGTAATGGGTGGTTCAAGTTCGATAAATGGAATGATATACGTCAGAGGTAATAAAGATGATTATAACAACTGGGCCAGTTTAGGAAATTCAGGTTGGAGTTTTAATGACGTATTACCTTTTTTTATAAAATCAGAGGACAATAGAGATGAAGATGTGAGTAGCACAAAAATTAGATATTACCGAAAATAATTATTTTAGAAAACAATTTACAGATTATAAATCTTGGTTTTATTTCCAGATCGTAAAATTAAATCCAGGTTATCATGGAACTGGAGGATATCAATCAATTCAAAGAATGCCCTATGTGGATAAAACTTCAAGACTTATTCTTAGAGCTTTTAGAGAGCTTGGTTACAATAATACAGATTTTAATGGGGCAAATCAATTCGGATCAATGCAAATGCAATCAACATCAAAAGATGGTTCACGAGCAAGTACAAATGTTGCTTTTCTTCGACCAATAAGAGAGAAGCGATTAAACTTATTAATAAGAACTAATGCTCGAGTAATGAAAATTATGATCGATACGGAAACAAAAAGAGCAATTGGTGTAGAATTTATATCAACAAAAACAGGAGCCACAAAAGTGGTGATGGCAAGAAAGGAAGTGATTTTATCTGCAGGTACCATTGAATCTGCAAAATTATTAATGCTCTCTGGAATAGGTCCTCAGGATGAACTTCAAAAACACGGTATTAACGTCGTACAAAATTTATCCGTTGGACAAAATCTTCACGATCATGTGTCCTTCGTGGGAATTAATTACCAAATTAGAGAATTAACGAAGTATCCAAATTGTTTAACACGTCAGTTACATTTAAACGAATATCTAAAATTCAAGAAAGGCCCACTTGCTTCTGTAAATCCTAGTCATACCAGTGCTTTCGTCCAAACTGAAAGTGAACAAAATTCATCAGCTCCTAATATAATGATAGAGTTCGTTCCAAAGGCATTTGACATTAATTCACCCCTTTATTACAATGATTTTCTCCAAGGACCAAATTTGATGGCACCGAGAAGTAGAGGTTTCCTTAAACTAAATGAAACCGATCCTGTATGGGGCGATCCGATAATTAATCCTGGATATTTTTCAAATGAAATAGACATGAATCAATTAATGGAGGGAATTCGTATTTGCTTGAAAATAATGAATACGACAGCATTTAGGGATAATAATATTGTTATTAATGAAACACCTTTGGCAGGTTGTGAGCAATTTCAATTCAATAGTAATGATTATTGGCAATGTTTGGCTAGGCGAAACACGCAACCGTACTATCATTATGTTGGAACTTGTAAAATGGGTCCAAAGAATGATTCGAATGCTGTGGTGGATTCTAGACTACGCGTTTATGGAATTAGAGGTTTGCGCGTTGTTGATGCTTCTATAATGCCAGTTATACCTAGAGCGAATACAAATGGACCAACAATTATGATTGCTGAAAAGGCCAGTTCGATGATCAGAGAAGACTGGATGTGATTTTAATTTTTTCATAAAAAATTTGTTAATTTATATTAATGTTTTCGCAGTGAATTTATAACAATAAAAATTACCTACTTTTAACGAAAATGTAATTTTTTTTGCCAAACAATAAATAAATAAATTTTTTAAAAATATTTAACAATTTTTTCTTTCTTAAGTTGCTGATTGCGTTTTTAATCTACTCTTTAAATTTGTATTAGTATCTGACTTTTTGATATATATTAATTAATTTTTAATAATTAAATAATTAGAAAAAAATAAGTTTATATAATTAAATTTTGCCTTATTTAAAAATTTATAAAATAAAAAAAGTTTTTCCTGACCATGCTAGGATGAAATGTATTATGCAGATGAAAATGATAATAAGGGGTTATGCAAAATGAAGTCTTATCATTCTAATCAAGTTGATTACATTCTTTTTTGTTACAATTCCCATGACGTCGAATATGTGAGGGCATTTTATGAAATATAATTTATGTTTTATAAATAGAAATAGAATGATAAAGTGACTTTTAAAATTATAATAAATTATACATGTGTTACGTAACAAAAATGCCTAGATATTTTTAATTTTAAGCAAGGTCTTTTTGAAAATGGGTATTTGATATCATATAAAGGACAGTGTCAAATTCATACCCTTAGGTAATTTCTGTCAACATGCCGCCAGGTTGGGAACCAGTTGAACTTTTCATTGTCTTTGTTATTTCATGTAAGTATTCACTGATTGAAAATAATTATCAAAATTTTATACAAGTTTTTTTTTTAAATTAGAAATAATAAAAAGCGTAATTTTTATTTCTGAAATTAATTCTATAAGAACTTGTATAAAATTTAGTATAACTACATACAAATTTTATAAATATTAGTAAATGATCCTTAAAGCTGTAAAAGGATGAATTCATACAAGTCTTTTAAAATTTTTTAAAATAACTTTTTAAATATAATAATAATTTTTTTAGTGTTAAAGATTTATTTTACATCATCGCAAAATAAATTGCTATCTTTCTAAAATAAATTTTTCTTTTACAGTTATTGCTAACAATATCAACGGGATTATACAAATGCTTCAAAAATTCTCACCCCTTGGTCAAGCCATTGGAGGTGGTGCTATTCCTGGATTGCCAATTGGATGACATTTATAATACTACAAATACTTTCTGCAGCAGTTACAATTAATATTGCATCGACATTGCTTAGTTATATTATATTACTTGTAATAAAAGTATTAATAATGGAAAAAATAAAATAGATCTTCAAAATGTCTAATTATACTAAATCTTTGTATATAAAAATTATTTTCTTTCCACCTTCTTTCAAAACCAAAATTTTTTTTTAAAACTTTATAATTTTTAAGATTAGGGATTAAAATTTGGTAATTTATATGTTTTTCTGTAAAACTTTTTTGTGAAAAGAAAAGGAGGATGTAATTAATAAAAAGCGTTAAAATTCCAAAAGTTTTTGAAAATTGTCAAAAGTAGTTTCTTAAAATTTGTATGTATTTTGCATTTTTTTGTAGAACATTTTGAGATTCGAAACAACTCTCTAAATCTGAATCAGTGGCTCTATTCTCGCGACTTTAATCAGTGAATTTTCACTGAAGATCAGTTAAAATTCACTGATTAAAATTGCGAGAATAGAGCCACTGATTCTCAGACAAATTTCACTGATTCAGTTTTAGAGAGAAATGAATAATTAAAAACTCTGATACTTCTATGAATACTAAAATATTAATTTTTTGGGAACTTTGAGAATTTGCGTATGATTGAGCGATTTAAGTTTAGAAATAACTATTCGATTTATTTTTTGTAGAGAATTTTTGAGTTCATAAAAAAGCGCTCCATACGTCAATAGGAAAAATTTATAAATAAAATCCTGATATCTTTAAAAATGCCCGAATTATAAATATTTTGGAAATTCTTTTTTGGACGTTTTGTATTGAGGACAATTGTTTCAAAAACTATTATTTAATAGTACTTTTGAAGAAAAAACTAGTTAAAATTCCAATATACCTAGCAAATCCGAAATTAACATTTTTTTGAAACTTAGGGAATCTATACTTTTAAAGTTTATGAATTAAAACGAGTTTTTCGTAATTTTTTATAGAATACTTTCGGACAAGAAAACTAACACTAAAATCCTGATATCTCTAAAAAATCTAAGAATCACATTTTTTTTTGAAAACTTTGAGAATGTGTATACTCAAATGTGTACATCACTAGAATTCAGTATAGAAAATATGAATTTTTTATTATTTAAATTTTCAAGTTCAATATCATTTTATGGTATCTCATTTAATATGTTTTTTGCATAAATGGCACAGAATATGCAGTGACTTGTAAATTAACTAATTAACACGAATTATCTATATTATGTAATAAAAATGCATAGATATATTAAATATCATATAATGTTTATGAATTTTTGATTATGCGAATGACAATATAAAGGACAGTCACAAATCGATGCCCTTAATATCTGCAAACATGCCGCCTGGTTGGGAACCACTTGAAATGTTACTTCTTTTCATTTTTTCTTGTAAGTATTACAAATTAATTACTTTATTTAATATATAATATAATATATTTTTACTGTAATATAAAAAATAAATTTTTCTGTACTTTTAAGATGTTATTAAAATTTTGCATCGCGGAAATAAATAAATATTTCTTTTAAATAAATCATATTTGTAATAAATAAAAATTTTTGTGCTGAACAAATATTTATTTGAAACAAATAAATAGTTATTTAGCCTCTGAGAATAATATATTTTTATTTAATACAAATAAATTATATTTTGTTCAAATAAAAAATATCTCTTGTTATATTAGAGATATTTTTTTATATTAATTGTTCCATCATTAAATTAATTTTCTTTTTATACAGTTCTTATGAATGGAATTACAAAACTGCTTCAAAACTTGAATCCAATTACTCAAGCGATTCAAGGTGCAGCTGGACCTCTACCTGGATTTCCGATAGGATGACAATTGTTACAATGCGATAAATATTTTTCAGTTTAGTTACAATTAATATTGCATCAGTAATTAAGTTTTATAATATTAGTTGTAATTGAAGTATACTAATATTTGACTGTAAACGTTCTTTCTGTTAACATCTATATGTCTATAAAAATGCACCAGAGGGTGAAAAAAATAAAATAAATTTTAATTATTTTAATATTGTATCTACTTTTTTTCGTTAGAAAATCTATTTACATTTCTTTCATAATGAAAAATTATTTCTTTAATAAATTAATTATTAGCCCTAAATTTTTATTCAAGAGTTTTTTTTGTAAAAAATGTGAAGAAGAAAATTAATTTCGTTATTAAACACTAAAATTTATTTTCTACTTTAAAATAATCATGTTTATTGACCATATCTTAAATATTACTGTTTTTTAATAATAACATGAAAGATAATTTCTTTCTATTAAATTTTTATAATTAAAAATATTTACCTATTGATTATTTATTATTATTTATTTATCTAATTATTTAAAAACCAGTATTCCAATATTGATGTTTAATTTTAAAAAAATAAATTATATTTTAATTGAAATAAAATTCCGAAGATATGATTATATTATATTTCTCATAAAAATATAAAAAGAATTTTATTTTTAATGAATACAATGTATGAGGAAGTACTATTATTGGACTATTCAAATTATTGTTCGTCATTCTAATTTCGTAGTATAATATTTTGTTGTTAAAATCCTCTATGTAATTTTATGAAATATTCAATTTCTCAGGAAACTCAATATATATATATAAATAATATATTTTTGTTAAAATGACTTTTAAATTAACAAATTACAATATGTTATCTTACTAATGTAACAAACATGCCCAGTTATCTTGAATCTATATATTGTTTATGAATTTTTGATGATGACAAAAACAGTATATAAACGACAGAGTTTAGATCACATCATCAATTCATTTCAACATGCCGACTCCAGAGCAAGATTTCCTCATTTTACTCACCTTCGCTTTTAATTGTAAGTATAAAAAAATTATTTTATATTATTAAAAATATTAAATATTATTATCACTTGCATTTGAATTATTTGAATTAAAAAAATTGCCAATACAGTAGAACCTTGTTAAATTGGAAGTTCAAAGAAAATACTTAATTTAATCTAACGAGGTTCGAATGTATATAAAGAAATTAAATATTGAGGCACTTTAGACAAAGAATATCTTAATCTTGGAGTTTTAATTTCGTCTCAAAGTACTTAGAGATAATGTAAATTTTCCTTTTCTAACTGATTTTAATTTTTCTTTTATAGTTATTGTGAACAATCTTGGAGGCATTATAAAAATGCTCCAAGGTATCACCCCTATTGCCCATGCTCTTAATCCTGCCGCGAATCCTCTAGCTGCCGGGCTGCTTGGATAACAGTAAACAGGTATATACTCCTAATATATTCATTAAAAATAAAATTCTTCCAATTTTTTTTTTAAATTTTAATTAAAAATTTCTTTTTTAATTCTTTATAAGGATAATAATTTACTGATACTAATACTATTTTGCAGATTTTTATTGTTTTGAAGGAAATAAGGAAATCATTTACAATAATCTTACCATGACAAAATAATGAAAGAAGAGTAAAAAAAAAGTGGATGAAATTATAAATAATGCACCATATTGAACTTTTGGAATTATTGATATCTTGAATTCAGAAATCGAAAATCATTTCAATACAATTAGTGGTGCTGACAAAAGATTCTATTCAATGGTACTTTGGATGAAAAGAAATGCAGATTATCATAAATGTTATGCCAATTATTTAATACAACGTAAATGTTCCTTCATAACGATAAAAATTGCTGTTCTCCAAGCAAAGTTAATAAATAAATACATAATATAAAATGAAAAATATACTCAAGTTCTTATTTATCTATCCTATTACTGAAACCGATATTTTAATGATCGATTCATCGTACTATAAATATATTTTTTTATATGATAATAAATTATATTTTTAATGTAAAGATATTCTTTATACATTTCATACAATGCTTTCGTATAATAAAATCAGATTATTTTTTATTTTACAGTCATAAAGAGAAAGTAAAACAAATTACAAAAATAACTTAATAAAATTAGAAAAATTGAATCTTTATGCGAATTATTTTCATAAGAATTATATAAAACTTATTTACTTAGAGTAGCTAAAACAGTCACTAAAATAGTTTATTAAGAAAATTTTTTTAACAATTTCAGGAAAATTTTCAAATTAAATTTTTTTATTCCTGCTTTTGATACCTATTTTATAATATAAGTAATATTTAATTTTTGAAATTATTGAAGAATAATTTTAACAGTTGCCACGATGATCATTTGATGTTAATTTTTGTACGTTAATGATTTATAAATTTTAGTATTTAATTTAAAAATTATTTTAAATAAATATTCTATTATTCAAGTCGAAATTGTAGATAACATTTTTTCGTTTCTTTTTTTCTATTAAAATTCTTAACTTCTAGTCGTAATGGTATTTCATGAGAAATTCAGTTTCATTTGACTGAAACTTGCACTTATAAATATAGTACAGTATGATAAAGTGTTTTTTAAAGTAGCAAATTAAAATTTACAATTTGATTTATGTAATATAATTTTCAAATATTTTAATTTACATATAATATCTATATGTGACTTTTCAAAATGGCAAAGGTAATATAAGGAAGCAGTCACAAATCAATTTTTCTTATTATTTGACAATATGCCGTCTTCTTTTGGATTACTTATGCTTTTAGTCACCTTCATCATAAAATGTATGTAAAAAAAAGTTATTTTAAGAATTTTATTAAAAATTTCATTCTTTTAAGTAGTTAAATAAAATAAAATTCACGAATTAATTTTCAACTTTTAGTAACAATTTTTGTGAAAGAAATAGAATGTGTCTAACTCTTTTTTTTTATTATTGTAGTTATTTTGGATCACATTGATGATGTAATTAGACTTCTTCAAAATATCGCCCCTATTGTTCGATCATTACGAAGTGGTAATGTTGGTCAAATTCTTGGTACTCAAAATGGGTAGTAATAGGTAAATTTTAATGATGATTTTAATTAATTTTAATGAATCAATTAATAGTTTAAAAAAATCTAATTCTTAAAAATTGTTATAAATAAATATATAAACAAATATTTATTCACAGATATAATTTGTCTTCAAGGGGTTACAATGGTTATTTATAAAAATCGTATCATGGCACACTAGTAATATATTTAGCAAAAGAAAATGGATGAATTTAAAATGGAAAGTTTCAGATCGACCTTTTAGAATTCATGTATAATAAAATAAGTTATAAAAATTTCTCTGTAAATCTTTTATATAACCTGTGCAATCTCTTTCCAACTGAATTGTTTTATAAATTAAGTCTATAAAATAGTATTATTTTTTATTGTCTCTTTCAAACGATTTTTTTTCTATATTTTTAAATTATACTTATAAACATTTTACTGGAATAGTTAAATAATTTTTTAAACAACAAAAGTTCTACTGAATTTCACAAATGCCTTTTTTGTATTTTTCCATATAATAAATTTAATAACTATTTGATAATTATGTAACAAATAAAATAATTGCACTATTTATTTACTATTTCTGATAGAAAGAAGTATCTTTATCAGTAATAAAAATAAAAATCAAAGAAATTACAAAATTCATCAAAAGAAAAGTTGAATAGAATTTTTTTTAGAAAAATTAAATCAAATTTTAAACTTTCTTTTCTTTGAAAAACAGAAAAAAAGTAAAGATATAATTAGAAAAAAATAAAGGATATTTGTTAATTCAGAGAATGACGTATATTTTTTTGTGTAATATATGTTATCGATATTATGCAAAAACGAATTGCAGGTACTACTCAACATTCACATATTTTTGATAATGCATTTCTGAATATGAGAATAGAAATATAAAAGGCGCTTCGAATTTAGTTCTCATTCATCGAAAAACATGATAATAATGGCGCTCCTTAATCTTGTCTTATTTCTTCTCACTACTATTTTACAAAGTAAGGGGCAAAAATTTATTTTTTTTATTCGATAAAATAATTTTTCATTTTTCGAATTATTTTAATTATATGTAAACATTTTTTTGTATTGTTTCAGATATACCAGGAGTAATGGAACCGCTAACTCAATTACTTCAAAGTCTTTTGCCAGTACTTCGAAGTCTACAGAGTTATTTAGAAAACTTGGGTTTAAACTTAAATAGTACTTCTACTGGTACAACTACCACTGCTGCACCGTCACTTTTACCACGCATAACTTTGCCTCGCGTTACCGGATAAAAAAATCAGGTATTTTTTAAAATTATTTTTATTATTTGTGACGCTCCACATTGAAAAGAGAAAAAAATTAATTTTCATCTTTGGTTACGCAAATCAAAATTATATAAATTTCGATGTTTTTCATTTTTACAGTATGGAGCGTCAAATTCAATAAAAAATTTGTCTTAGTTTCTATATTAGAATTTTATTATTAATTAATATTTTTTTTTACGATTTTTTAGGTTAGACCGTCATTCTTATATTTTTCGATCGCTAATGAAAACTGACAAATCTTAAACGATGGGAATTAAATTTAAACAATGAATTTAATAAAGAAGTTAAAATATTATAGATCAAAATCAAATAATACGAGATACAATTTATTCATCATTACTGAAGAAATTGAAATGATAAAAAATTCCAGTGAATGATTTTGCACATTCTTTTAAACAGTAAAAAGATATTTTAAATTAAGTCAATTGAAATACCTGTTCATAAAATTGACAATATAATACCATATGTTTAATATAATGTACCTATATTAAATATTGAAATTATATTAAAGACCAATATAATGTAAAAAGAAATAAAATTGAAGATATTAAAATAAATTGATTTTATTAATTAAATAAATTAGAATTAGATGAGACAACTATAATTTTTAAAGCAAAAAGTAGAAATAACTTGGACTATGCGAATAAAAAAATTTTATAATTATTATAATTTATTATATATATAAAAAAAAACCAGAAAATTTATTTCCTCATAGAGGAATTTTTACTCTAAATGATTAAAAAAAAACTATTTTCAAATTTTTATCTAAACATTATTTTTTTTATTTTAAAGTTTGGCGCTTTATGCGTCGCTCATAGTATATATCAAAATTATCTGAAGCATCTCTTCTGGTGCATCCTATACACTTGACAGTGCTATCTCTCTGTTAGAGGGATTTCACATGACGATAAGTTCAACGAGGTAAATATATTTCAAATATCAAAATCTATTCAATGATTTTCGTGATAGTCGTAAAGCAATCATTATATGATTGTCATATTTATCAGATAGGCATTTCTAGATTTAAAAATTTTTAGTTAAAAAAAAGTATTAAAAAAAATATTCCCTTTTTCAATTGTTAATGTTATTTTTAGAAACGTATAAATTATGACATTTACAATGTAACAAACAAAAATTTTAATAGTAAAAATGAAATTTAAATTTAAAAATTTGTTTAAATGGTAAATTTATTCTGTATAACTTTTATATTTTAAATTCTAATTAGACTGTTCAAGTCGGAAAAAGTTTAAATTATAACGTTTATCAGTCTTATGAAAAACAAATTTTAGATTTTATAATTTACTTATTTCAGCTAATATTGGAACATCACAAGTCAATCTTGAGTATAATAGATCGGTTGTAAATAAGTGCTCTATTAGAAAATTGAATTAATTATGTTGCTAAGATTTTTACTATCTCAAACATCCCTCCCCTGTACTATTTTTTCCTTCACTGCATTATCATTACTATTTGGAATATCGCGAGATGACAGTTACATAGAGGTATAGAGATCATTTTTTAAACGAATTAAACAAATTTCAAAATAAATTTTTTTTTTAGTTTTTGCAAAAGGAACCAATAAAGTACGATTTTATAATAGTCGGTGCTGGATCTGCAGGATGTGTGGTTGCAAATCGACTATCAGAGAATCCAAATTGGAATGTAAATATACCAAAAACTAAATTTTTTTTCAAAACTTAAAACCTAAAACAAAAATCTATCATAGGTTCTCTTACTGGAGGCAGGAAAAGAGGAACCATTACTATCGGAAGTACCAGCACTTTCAGAATTATTTGCCATGACACATTTTGATTGGCAGTATAAAATTAGTAAAGAAAACAATGCATGCAATGTAAAAGGAACTTTTCCAATGAGAAACGGAAAAGTATGTACCAGTTGATAATTATTTCCACTATTTACCATTAAAATGAAAATTAATTTTTTTAGGTAATGGGAGGAACAAGTTCAATGAGTTATATGTTTTACGTTAGAGGAAATCGCGAAGATTATAATAATTGGGAACGAATGGGAAATCAAGGATGGAGCTACAACGATGTGTTACCTTATTTCATAAGATCAGAGGATAATAGAGATCAGGACGTGAGTTAAATTTTTTCCTTAAAAATCACAAACTGACAAATATTTTATAATTTTTAATTTCTAGATTTTACAAAACAGTACCAACTATCATGGAACTGGAGGATACATGACTGTGGAACGTTTACCATATAGAGATCCAAATACAGACGTGATCCTTCAAGGATATCAAGAACTTGGAATGAGACCTACTGACGTTAATGGTGAAAATCAATTGGGATCAATGCTTTCACAAACAATTTCAAAAAATGGATCACGAATGAGTACCAATAGAGCATTCATAAGACCATTTAGACAAAGAAAGAATTTATTCATTAAAACACAAGTTTACGTGACGAAAATTTTAATCGATCCCTTTACAAAAAGTGCAATTGGTGTTCAATACACATCAACACTTACAGGTGACACAAAAATAGTGTTTGCTAAAAAGGAAATTATCGTCTCTGCCGGTGCAATTGAATCACCAAAATTATTAATGCTCTCTGGAATTGGACCAATTAGTGATCTTTTTCTACACGGTATTCCAGTCATGAAAAATTTATCCGTTGGTCACAATCTTCATGATCACATTGGTGTTTTTGGATTATTTGGAAATATAGAATCAAGCAATTCTCCTTTTCCAAGTTGTCAGGAAAATATGGGTGATTTAAATAATTTCTTTAAAGAACATACAGGACCACTGGGTTCAATAGGACTCATATCGACAACAGGCTTTTTACAAACAAAATTCGAGAATAGAACAGGCATTCCTGATGTACAACTCTTGTGTGCTGGAATAAGTCCCATTGTATCACATTACAATAAATTTACAATAGTTCCAACTATTTTAGCACCAAAAACTCGTGGTTTTGTTAAACTCAATAAATTCCGTCCCATATGGGGTAGTCCAGAAATTAATCAAAGATGCATGGTGGATGATGATATTCAGAGTTTGAAAGAAGCAACAAAAATGGCCTTAAGGATATTTAATACAACAGCATTTAGACAAAATAATTTTACATTTATAAGTCACCCATTACCGGGTTGTCATATGTTTCAATTCAATACTGATGAGTATTGGGATTGTGTGATAAGAAATTTTCCCGTTTTAGTAAATGAACAAGTTGGAACATGTAAAATGGGTCCACGAGAAGATAGTGAAGCTGTTGTTGATTCAAGATTACGTGTTCATGGTATTAATAATTTGAGAGTTGTTGATGCTTCAATTATACCAATAATTCCAAGAGGAAGTCTTTTGGCTCCAGTTATAATGATAGGAGAAAAGGGTAGCGATATGATAAAACAAGATTGGTCCTAATTATTTCCTAATATTAAATAATAAAATTATTAAAATCTGTTTTAAAGACTATTTTAAGTGGATTTTATTTCAAAACACTTTCCTTATTTTTAATTTTCAATATTTGAAATTAATATTTAGAAAATTAGTATTTTTCTACTATACAATTATTATTGTCTTCGGTAATATTATAAAAAAATGATAACATCATAATAAATTATTCTGATTATTCAAAAAAAAAAAAAAAAAACACAAACCTGTAACTATTAGAATGAATTCAATTGTTTATTCAATGTACCATGATATATCAGTAACAAAATTGCATCGCTAGTATTTAGAACGAAATTATTTTTTCAAAACTACTTTTTTGACTATTTATAATGAAAATATAGTTAATTACAATTTGGAAATTTAAGTTTGTGGATGTGGAAAATAAGACTTATTCATAAAAATAATGGAAATTTTGTCAAATGTACTTTCAAATTTATCTGCATCGCCTGTTCTTTGTACCATTTCGTATTTGTCAACGTTGGTACTTTTGTTCGGAATATCACAGGATGATACACACAAAAATCAATACAATGTGGTATATATTAATTATTATTAATAAATAAATAAATATTTTTCTAAAATTTCTATATTTTTGACCTTTTTTCACTAGCAAATAAAAAACGAGACCAATGAGTACGATTTTATAATAGTCGGTGCTGGATCTGCAGGATGTGTGGTTGCAAATCGTCTAACAGAAAACAGCAAATGGACCGTAAATATCAAATAAGAATTTAATTATTAATTCCAATAATTTTTATCTAAAATCAATTGTTAATTTTGTAAGCAAAGTACCGTAAATTATTATACAGGTGCTTCTATTGGAAGCTGGAAAAGAGGAACCTTTAATTGCAAACGTACCAGGTTTTACATTGTTTACTGAAAGAACATATTACGATTGGAATCATCAAATCGAACCAGACACCAATTCATGTTTATTACCAGACGGATGTACTTTTGCACACGGAAAAGTAACTATTCAATTCTAAATTATTTCCAATTATATTATAAAAAACTAAAAATGAAACAAAATGACAATATTTTTATCAATAGGGAATGGGAGGATCTGGTACTATGAATTTTATGCTATACGTTAGAGGTAATCAAGAAGATTATAACAATTGGGAACGAATGGGAAATACCGGATGGAGTTACAAAGATGTATTACCCTATTTTAAAAAATCTGAAGACAACAAAGATCAAGATGTAGGTGAAATTAAAATTTATTTTTTGTTCAGACATTTTTAGTGATTTCAATTTTTAGATTCTCAGAACAAGCTCAGAATATCATGGAACTGGAGGCTATCTACCAGTTCAAAGAATGTCATACGTGGACAATGCGTCAAAAATATTGTTCAATGCTTTACAAGAGTTGGGTTATAATTCCACGGATATAAATGGAAAAAATCAATTAGGATCAATGATATTGCAAACAACAACCAGAAATGGAACACGTATAAGCAGTAATGGAGCATTTATCAGACCAATTAGACGAATGAGAAAAAATTTATACATTAAAACTCAAGTATATGTGATGAAAATTTTAATTGATTCAGCGACAAAAAGAGCGTTTGGAGTAAAATACCAGTCATCAATTACAGGCGATACAAGAAGAGTATTTGCTAGAAAAGAAGTAATTATTTCAGCCGGTACTGTCGAATCACCAAAATTACTAATGATCTCTGGAATAGGACCCAAAGATGAACTCGAAAAATATGATATCAGCGTTATAAAAAATTTATCAGTAGGTCATAATTTACAGGATCATGTTTCATGTCCAAATATTATTGCCAGAGTGGGAGAAAACAATAATCCTGATTGTCAAAGCAAATTAAAGGACCTAAAAGATTATTCTCATAATCATGAAGGTCCACTTTCTTCTATTGGTGTTAGTTCACTATCTGTATTTTTTCAAAGTCAATATGCAGAAATACCAAATATTCCCGATATACAAATTGTCTTTATGCCATTAAGTACTATAACAGCTTATTATAATGAATTTACAATAATGCCTTATTTTCTACAACCAAAGAGTAGAGGATTTATTAAACTAAATCATACTAATCCAATTTGGGGCACACCGGAAATAATTCCGAAATATTTTTCCGAAGATGAAGATATGAAACGTACAATCGATGGTTATCGAAAAGCTCTTCGTTTATTTAATACAACTGCTTTTAAAAATAATAATTTTCGATTAAAAGAAATTTCCTTCTCGCCTTGTAATAAATTTAAATTCAATAGTGATGCATATTGGAATTGTACTGCAAGACTTTATACTAATACGGAATATCATCCAGTTGGAACTTGTAAAATGGGTCCAAAAGAAGATACCGAAGCTGTGGTTAATTCGAGATTAAGAGTATATGGAATTGAAGGATTGAGAGTGATTGATGCGTCAATTATGCCAATCATTACTCGAGGAAATACGAATGCACCAACTATTATGATTGCCGAGAAAGGAAGTGACATGATAAAACAAGATTGGTTATAATTTCAGATATTAGCAAGAATTGAGTTATTTTAAAAAATTCAAATTCTTTACTGATAATCATCAATGTTGAATTTCTACATTATGTATAAATATTGATCAATGACTAATTTTTATTCTATGCTACAAAAGTTTCACGAAAATTATTGATTAGTATTTATGTATACAATAAGTACATGATAATAAAATACATATAAATATTAAAAATAAAAGTAACTATCTGTTATTTTTGCGAAATAAAATATGAATATTCCAAGATATGCTAAATGTGAATTAATATTCATGAATATTAAATTCACAATAGTTGCATAGAAATTATTGTCTCCTTCAGCAAGGTGAAAATGCATTTAGGCTATTTAAGTTTCTATATTTAGAGTGTATAATAGTGTAATATTATTCCACGTGTTTTCTAATTTTGCACTTTGTACTCGAAATTATTACAATAAAAAATGTTAGCAATTATCATAACTGAATTGTAAAAAAAACATTCTTGGAAATTATTAAGTGTTACTATCAAATAGACATCTATTTTGCCTCATATAATGTCGACGATACAAAATTTTCTCGAAACACCTATAACATGTTCTGTTTTTTACGTAGCATTAGTTTCACTTTTACTTGGATTTTCAAAAGATCAACAATTTAACGAGGTGAATATTTTCGAAAACATTTATTGAGTGTAAAAATCTTTTTTTTATGTGTAATCTAAATTGAAGTAAATAATGATTTTTTTCAAGAACAGAAGACCTGATCGAGAGGAATATGATTTTATTATTGTGGGTGGTGGTTCTGCTGGTTGCGTATTGGCAAATCGTTTGTCAGAAAGACGAGAATGGAGTGTAAGAATTATTTTTACTAGTTCTTTGATGCGAGAGGGGAAAAATTAAAATCTTTTTAATGATTATTAGGTACTATTACTGGAAGCTGGAAGAGAAGAACCTGTATTAGCCGAAATTCCAGGTTTTTCATTTACTGTCCGTGAAACAGATATTGATTGGAATTATCGAACACAACCTACCAAATTTGCATGTATTAGAAACAAAGGATGTGTTTGGCCACGTGGACGAGTATTTGTTTTCATATTCTCATTAAATTAGCATTTTTTTTAAAAAATAATTTACATTCATTTCATAGGTAATGGGCGGTTCGAGTACAATTAATTATATGCTGTACGTTAGGGGAAATCGTGATGACTATGACTCCTGGGCTAGAATGGGAAATTCTGGATGGAGTTACGATGAGGTTCTGCCTTATTTCAAACGATCGGAAGACAACAGAGATCCTGATGTAAGAAATAATTACATAAACATTTAGCTAAGATTTTTAAATTAAAAAATGAAACTATTTACAGATTTTGGAACAAAGTCCAAATTATCACAGCACTGGAGGATATCAGCAAGTCCAACGACTTAATTATAAAGACCAGCCTACGAAAATTGTATTCAAAGCATTCCTAGAGCTTGGATTTAATGAGACAGACATCAATGGAGAACATCAAATAGGCGTCGCACATTTGCAAGCAACATCAATTAATGGATCTCGTGTCAGTACAAATAGAGCATTCATCCGACCAATTAGAGAAAGTAGAACAAACTTATTTGTTAAGAGTGAATCGTATGTAACAAGAGTTTTAATAGATCCAGGCTCAAGAAGAGCTACAGGTGTTGAATATACACATATACCAACAGGAAAAAGTACAATAGTTTATGCAAGAAAAGAAGTTATTGTCTCATCAGGTGTTGTTAATTCACCAAAATTACTTATGCTCTCTGGTGTTGGTCCACGGGATGAACTTGAAAAACACGGTATTCCTGTTATTAAAGAATTACCAGTTGGCAATAATTTACATGATCATGTGTCATTTCAAGGATTATTTGTTCAAATTAATCCCGATATGGTCAATAATCCAAAGTGCGAAAAAAGAGTCGAGGATTTAAATTATTATCTAACTACACGCGATGGACCACTTTCATCAACAAGTATTACCTCAGTTTCTGCATTTGTACGCACTAAATATGAAAAACGTCGTGAATTACCTGATATACAATTTCAATTTGGTAATTTTGGTGTGTCGCCTTATTTTCAAAAATTTGCCATTCTACCAGTTCTTTTACAACCAAAAAGTAAAGGATTTGTGAGATTAAATTTTACCGATTTAATTTGGGGTGATCCTATAATTCAACCGAATTATTTTACCGAGGACATCGATGTGAAACGAATGGTTGAAGGTATAAGAATAGGTCTCGAGTTATTTAGAACGTCAGCTTTTACGCAAAATCAATTTCAATTGGTGATACAAGCCATGCCACCTTGTGATAAAATTGAGTACAATACTGATGAGTATTGGATTTGTATTATCAGACAGTACACTGATACATTTTATCATCCAGTGGGTACTTGCAAAATGGGACCAAATGATGATCCTGGAGCAGTTGTTGATACAAATTTACGTGTCTATGGAATTCAAGGCCTACGAGTGATTGATGCATCTATTATGCCAATTGTTCCAAGGGGAAATACCAATGCACCAACAATTATGGTTGCCGAGAAAGCGAGTGATATGATAAAAAAGGATTGGATACAATCGGGATGGTGGAGTTCGCTTCAAGAATAAGAGATGGTATCTCGCATAATGTAAAGAATGTGGAAACAATAAAACATGTAAAGACTGTGAGAAATTAATTATTTATAGCCTACTTAAATTTATATTATTTTCCATTTCAACAAAGAACCTGAATATTTTAAAACAAATTTAATTCTCTAATCGCATTCAACTTTTAATATTGTTAAAAAAAATATCAAGAAAAACTATAAATTATTTCTTTGTTAAAGTATACAAATATCTATTTTAGAACTTAATTACAACGTATGACAAAATTGTCACTCAAAAAAAACTTGTTTTAAAGTAGATTAGGTGATAAAATATTATACTAATACTAGACATTAAAACCAGGAAGTATACACTGTTTAAAATGAAAGTCATTAGTAATAAAAAAAATGTTCAGTGAAGGCAACATTTAATTAATAATAGAATTAAATTTGACGTAATTACGATATTTTGTATTAATTTATTTAAATTGAGATCAATAACTAAATAAAAAAAATAAAATGCTTATTCAGAACATTTTAACATGTGGCTGGTCATGTGCATGTATTTATTCAGCTATAATTTCTTTTCTTCTAAAGGATCCGATAGATGAAAATTTTAATTCGGTAATTATGAATTGTTATCTATGTAGGAAAAATAGTATTTCGTAAAAATATTCCACAAAAAGTTAAATTTTCTAATTTTTTAAAAATAATAATTTTATAAATTAGTTTAATGTTTTTTTAAATGTAAAAATAAAATTTTAAAAATTATATTGAAAAAAAAGAAATTACTATATGTAAATTAATTTTATTTCTTTAAAGATCGCTCAACAAGAACCTGAACAATATGATTTTATTATAATTGGTGCTGGAACTGCAGGATGTATTTTGGCAAATCGACTTTCAAAAATAAAAAATTGGAAAGTAAGAACATATTTTATCAAAAACGATCAAATCGTAAAAAAATTTCTTTTATATTAATTTTTTTTAAATATTTATAAAACTGGTAAAATAATTATTATTAAAATTAAAAATCGTTAAACTTAAAATCTTATTTTAAAAATTAAAAAATAATTAAACTTAAAATATTATTTTTAAAAAACTATGATAGATACTTTTACTGGAAGCTGGTGATGATGAACCTAAAGCTGTCAAAGTTCCTGCTTTTGGTCCATTACTGCAGGACTCGCATTTAAATTGGAATTACAAAACGCAACCACAAAAAAATGCTTGTTTGCAAAATAATGGTTGTAATTGGCCACGTGGTAAAGTAAGTGATATTAAATAATAATTATTTGCATTATAGTAATTAAAAAGTTTTAGAATTAGAAAAAAATTTACACTAGGTCATGGGCGGTACGAGTTCAATTAATTATATGATGTATGTGAGAGGCAATCAAGAAGATTACGATACTTGGGAAAGAATGGGAAATCCTGGATGGAGTTATAATAACGTATTGAAATATTTTAGAAAATCAGAAAATAATAGAGATAAAAAGGTAATCATTAAAAGATAAGCTTTATAAATTATAGAACAATATTATTAAAAATACCTAATATTAACAAAAAATATTGTTAACAATAATATTATTAACAATGATTTCATTAATTATTTAATTATTATTCATTTAAATCTTTTAGAAATTAGAAAAATATCCTCAATGTCACAAAACTGGCGGTTATCAGTTAATAGATAAACTTCAATATTTAGATCCTAATGCAAAGATTGTTCATAAAGCACTTGAAGAACTTGGACATCAAAAAACAAACATAAATTGTGAAACTCAATTAGGTTCAATGATTATTCAAACAACATCATTTAATGGATCCCGAATAAGTGCAAATGAAGCATTTATTCAACCCATCAAGCGAAAAAGGAGAAATTTATTTATTAAAAAAATGGTTCTTGTGAATAAAATTTTAATTGATCCTAATACAAATAAAGCTACTGGTATAGAATACTTTTCAATTATCACTGGAAAAAATAAAACAGCTAAAGTAAAAAAAGAAGTAATATTATCAGCTGGTACTGTAAATTCACCAAAATTGCTGATGCTTTCTGGTATTGGACCAATTGATGAACTTAAAAAACACAACATTCCTATCATAAAAAATTTGTCTGTTGGTCATAATCTTCAGGATCATGTCAGTTTTGTTGGTGTTACTGTTAATAAGTCAAATAATTATAGTTGTAAAAAAAAATTACAAGATTTGTATCATTATTGGGATACACAAAGAGGTCCTTTAGCTGCAATGGGTCTTACTTCAGTTACAAGTTTCCTTCAAACAAAATTTGCAACCAATAATACAGCTCCAGATATTCAATTTATGTTTGGTGGAGATGGAAAAATATTTTCCTATTACGATGTTTTTAATGTAATGGTAACTTTATTAACACCTGCGAGTAGAGGATTAATACGTCTCAATAATGATGAACCATTGTGGGGTGAGCCTTTAATTTATCCCGCTTACTTTGAATCGAAAGAAGATATCGATAGAATGCTTGAGGCAGTTCGAATGGCATTGAAATTGTTCAATACAACGATATTCAAAGAGAATTATTTTCACCTTGTTAAAGACACAAAACCACCTTGCAATAAATTACTGTTCAATTCCGATGAATATTGGTTGTGTCAAATGAGACAGTACACTTCCTCTACATTTCATCCGGTTGGAACGTGTAAAATGGGACCGCGTGAAGATTCAGAAGCTGTTGTTGATGCAAGATTAAGGGTTTATGGAATCAAAGGATTGAGAGTTATTGATGCATCGATTATGCCACTAATTCCTAGGGGAAACACCAATTCACCAACAATGATGATCGCTGAAAAGGGAAGTGATATGATTAAAGAAGATTGGTTGAAAAAAGGAACATAACGGCTACTTAAAAGTACTTGAGAAGATTTGCAAAATAATGAAGATGAAAAAAGAAGTTGCAGAAGAATAAACATTACTATTCAATGATTCTATTTTGGGTATTAATTGTTGTTACTAGAATAATAATTAAAAATAATGCAATGTATAACAACAAAACTGAATAAATAAAAACAAATCTTAAAAAAACAAATTATAATAAAATAAAACTTTATGTTTTTCTTTTCCTTGATTACTTAAGATAAGAATTGTAAGTAATATATCATCCGCTACTTTAAAGGGGGATTTATGCAGAAAAATTGCATTTCAAAAAAAGATACCATTAAATTTTGTTAAGAATTATCTTTGATCAAAAAGCAAATTTTCAAAGAAAAGCAATTCATTTGAATATTTGCAACGAATGTGTTGATTTTTCATTTTTATCTACTAATCGTCTTTGAGAGAGCTATTGATTTATAAAGAGGTATATTGTAATACTTTTCGTAATTTCGTTTATTTTCTTCTTTTGCTCCTTTTAAAAATGATTAAAATCATTTCTTTAATTATAATTCCTTAAGATTATTATTTGAAGGATTCTGATATATTCTAATTATTTCAACTAAACAAAATAGTAACATTTTTTAAGTTATTTGTTACACATTTTTGATTACTTTGTTTATAATATTATAAATATAATATTTATTATATAATATATTTTATATCACACATGCTCGAAAAACGCGTTTTATTGATAGTGTGAAGCGGGTAGTAACTTGAACTTTACATGTTCGGTGACGTCAGAGGGAAATGAAGTCGACATACAGGGCACTATCAGTAACACGAGGTTTCGAGCATATGTGATATAAAAAATCGTATGCACCTCGGTAAGTCCTTTATGTGCCCCGCAATTTTCTCGAACTTCACTTATTTTTAAAATAAAATTCAAAAATTTTCGAATAATCACAGTTCAAACAATGTTGCCACCATCATTTTCGGAGACATGTACAGCGAATTTTTGCGTCTGTTTAACATCAATGATTTATTCATTTCTTTTCGGCTACTCACCGGACAATAAATATAATTTGGTTTGCATAAATTTATTTCTAATTCAAAAAGTTATTATAAAGTAATTAATATAAAAAAAATTATTGAAATTCTTTTTTAAAGCAAGTAAAACCGGAGCCAGAAGTATATGACTTTATTATTGTTGGTGCTGGTTCAGCGGGATGTGTTGTTGCAAATCGACTATCAGAAATTAATAATTGGAATGTAATTATCGCAAAAAAAAAAATTACTAATAAAAAAAGATTTTTTTTAATAAAATCTGTAAATTTGTAAAATAGGTACTTTTATTGGAAGCTGGAAATGAGGAGCCAATACGTGCAACTATACCTGGATTCGGTGGAAGTCTAGGGGGAACAGAATTTGATTGGAAATATAGAACACAATCCGAAAAAAGTGAAATTGTAAAAAGTAAAGAAATTTATTGGCCTCGGGGAAAAGTGAGTATTGAAAATATTAAAATTATCCCTATTGTCGAAAAAATTGTTCGAACTAATCATTTGAATTCCAAAATTTCACTAATTTAAAAAGAAATTTTTTTATTTACAAATTTCAGATAATGGGTGGTTCTAGTTCAATAAATGGCATGTACTACGTTCGAGGCAATCGAGAAGATTTTGATAATTGGGCAAGAATGGGAAATCCTGGATGGAGCTACAAGGATGTTTTACCTTATTTCATAAAGTCGGAAAACAATTTAGACCCTACGGTAAAGCTAAAAAATACATCCTAGAAATATTCTTTTTGTATTGAATTGTTCTCAAATAAGTTTTTTCATTTTTATTGTACTTGAAATTTTTTTTAAGGTTGTGGAAAAAAATCCCGATTATCATGGAACAGGTGGATATCTCTCAGTCCAAACGAATCCCTTTTTCACCGAACCAGCTAAAATAGCAATTAAAGCTTTTCAAGAAAAAGGCTATGATCTTATAGATGCAAATGCTGCTAAACAATTAGGAATAACAAGAACGCAAATAACAGCGGGAAATAATTCTCGATCAAGTACAAACGTAGCATTTATTCGTCCAATTAGAGGTGAACGTAAAAATTTATTTATTAAAAGTCAATCATTCGCGACAAAGATTTTGATTGATACAAAAACAAAAAAAGCTAGAGGTGTGGAATATACTTCACAAAAAACTGGTAAAACTCAAATAGTTATGGCAAGTAAAGAAGTAATTGTATCAGGAGGAGTTATCAATTCACCACAATTGTTAATGGTTTCTGGAGTTGGACCATGTGAGGAGCTTAAGAAACATAAAATTGAAGTGATAAAAAATCTTTCAGTTGGTAAAAATTTACATGATCATGTGTCAGCTCCAGGTCTATCGGCTAAGAAAAAAAATATTAAGATACATCCAAAGACATGTGAAAAAGATATGGAACATTTTTTTACATATTTATCAAAACGAGAAGGTCCTCTTTCAGGAGGTAAATCAGGAATGTTGACTGGCTTTGTGGCAACAAAATTTGCAGAAAAAGATATACCTGACATAGAGTTTACCTTCGATAGAATAGAGGAAAATGAAATTGCCTTCAAACCGATATTATTAACTCCGAAAAATAGAGGACATCTTGCTCTTAATGATAAAGATCCTGTTCGAGGGCAACCTTTATTATATCCAGGTTATTTTACTGAAAAATTTGATGTGCAACGTCTAATAGCTGGTATCGGGATCACTATTGACATTCTTAATTCAACAGTAATGAGGAATAATGATTTTATATTTGATGAAACACCTTTGGCTGCTTGTCAATCGTTTAAATTTAATACTTATGAGTACTGGGTGTGCTATTTGCGACATAAATTTAACACCGATTTTCATCCCGTGGGAACTTGTAAAATGGGACCAAAAGAGGATCATCTAGCTGTTGTAGATTCAAGATTAAAAGTACACGGTATAGAAGGATTAAGAGTAATTGATGCCTCAATAATGCCCGCTGTGACTCGAGGAAACACTAATGCGCCGTCAATTATGATCGGCGAAAAAGGAAGTGATATGATCAAGGATGATTGGTTGTAAAATTATGATAAATCTGTTTATTTCAAAAACTTATTTCATAAAGTCTTATAAAAAGTACCTAAGAAAATATGCAATTTACGAAAATAATTTATACAAAAATTTTATATATTTTGTAGCACAAAATTGTTCTTTAAATTATTACAACGTATCAAATTATATGTAGAGAAATAAAAAAAGAATTTTATTTTTTATTTAAATTATTTCCTCAAGTTCAGTTACTGGTACAGAGTCATTCACCTTAAAAAAAAATTGAAGAAAAATAATAAAAGACCAGTAAAAATAAATAAAATTAAAAAAACAAATTGAAATAAAATGACAAGTGTTTTCTTTCCTCGATTATTTGAGATAAGAATTTTAGGAAATAATTCATCCGCTAAATTAAAGGGGATTTTAAGCTAAAAATTGCACCGAAAAACAACATTTCGGTTAATTACAGTAATTTTCTGATAAGATTTATCTCTGATCAAAAAGCAAATTTTCGGTGCAACGCAACTCATTTGGATATATGGAACGAATGTCTCGATTTTGAATGTTTATCTACTAATCGCCTCAGAGACAGATTATATCATTCATTTATAAATAAGGTATTGTGATTTATTCTGTAATTTAATGCATTTTGTGATTTTAAAAATAAAATAAAAATTTACTATTTGTGTAATAGATAAATCATCTACTTTTATTCAATCTCAGGTCAAACAATGTTGCTACCATTTTTATCCGAAACATGTACAGCGAATTTTTGCACCTGTTTTTACACCATGATTTATTCATTTCTTTTTGGCTACTCGCCGGATAATAAATTTAATTTGGTTAGTATGAAGTATTTTATATTTCTAGGAATTAGGAATATTTGTAAAATTAAAATTAAATTCGAAAAATAATTATAAATTATTATAAACAATCAGAATAAATAATTTTAATTTTACAAATAAAAATAAATTGAATTATATTTTTAAAGCAAGAAAAACCGGAGCCAGAGGTGTATGATTTTATTGTTGTTGGTGCTGGATCAGCGGGATGTGTTGTAGCAAATCGACTCTCGGAAATCAATGATTGGAATGTAATTAGAGCAAAAATTAACATTGTTACTAATTAGAAAATAAAAATTTATAAATAAAAAGTAAAATAAACAATGAAAATTTGTAAAATAGGTACTTTTATTGGAGGCTGGAAAAGAAGAACCAGTACGTGCAAATATACCAGGATTTGGTGGTACTCTAGGGGGAACAGAATTTGATTGGAAATATAGAACGCAACCGGAAAAAAGTGCAATTGTAAAAAATAAGAGAATCGAATGGCCTCGAGGAAAAGTGAGCTTTTTTATTGTTGAAAAAATTATTTAAAATACGAAATTTCAAAACAAAATTTTTCAATTGGAAAAATTTTAGATAATGGGTGGTTCTAGTGCAATAAATGCTATGTATTACGTTCGAGGAAATAGAGAAGATTTTGATAACTGGGCAAGATTAGGAAATCCTGGATGGAGTTACGATGATGTTTTACCTTATTTCATAAAATCAGAAAATAATTTGGATCCTAAGGTAAATAAAATTAGCCAAAAATTTAAAGAGTGTAAAAACTATCAAATAAATATTCATAAAAGAATTTTTAGATTTTTAAAATTTTGAATTAAATATTCTCTATTTAATTATACATTTTGAAAAATTCTTTTTAAGGTTGTGGAAAATAATCCCGATTATCATGGAACAGGTGGATATTTATCAGTTCAATCATTTCCCTTTCTAACAGAACCAGGTAAAATTGCAATTAAAGCATTTCAAGAACAAGGTTACAATTTCATAGATCCAAATGCTGCTAAACAATTGGGTGTAACAATAACACAAATAACAGCGGGAAATAATTCTCGATCGAGTACAAATATTGCATTTATACGCACAATTAGAGGTCAACGAAAAAATTTATTTGTTAAGAGTCAATCGTTAGCGACAAAAATTCTAATCGATGCAAAAACAAAAAAAGCTACTGGTGTTGAATATATATCTCTCAAGACTAATAAAACACAAACAGTTTTGGCAAGAAAAGAAGTAATTGTATCGGGTGGAGTTATTAATTCACCACAATTGTTAATGGTTTCCGGAGTTGGACCAAGTGAGGAGCTTAAGAAACATAAAATTCAACTAATAAAAGATTTGCCAGTTGGTAAAAATTTACATGATCATGTGTCAGCTCCAGGTCTATCGGCAAAGAGGCAAAATGTTAAGATACCTCCAAAGACATGTGAAAGTAGAACAGAAAATTTATTCACTTATTTAACAAAACGAGAAGGACCTCTCAGTGGAAGTAAAACAACAATGGTGACTGGATTTGGAAGAACAGAATTTGAAGATAGAGATATTCCGGATATTGAATTCACTTTTGATAATCTAGAGGAAAATGAAATTGCCTTCAAACCGGTATTAATAACTCCAAAAAGTAGAGGACATCTTGCTCTTAATGATAAAGATCCTGTTCGAGGGCAACCTTTATTATATCCAGGTTATTTCACTGAACAAGTTGATGTGGAACGACTAATAGCTGGTATCGGACTTGCTATCGATATTCTTAATTCAACAGAAATGAGGAAAAATAATTTTATATTCAACGAAAAACCTTTGCCTGCCTGTCAATCATATAAATTCAATACTTATAAGTACTGGGTGTGCTTTTTGCAACATAATTTTAACACTGATTTTCATCCCGTGGGAACGTGTAAAATGGGACCGAAAAAAGATCCTCTTGCTGTTGTAGATTCCCGATTAAAAGTATACGGTATCGAAGGATTAAGAGTAATTGATGCCTCAATAATGCCTGTTGTGACTCGGGGAAACACTAATGCGCCGTCAATTATGATCGGCGAAAGAGGAAGTGATCTGATTAAGGATGATTGGTTGTAAAACTATAATAATTCTTTTTATTTCAAAAATTTCAGTCACTGGTGTAGACTTATTCATATAAAAAAATAGAGAAATACTGCTAAATTAGTCATTACTTATAATCGAGGGGGAATTTACTCAGGTAGTCAAGTGTACACTCTTCCTGTAATACTTGTGTAATAACGTGTAATACCGTGTAATAATGCGTTATTACGGTGCTGTAATAACGCAAAAAACTCTGTAATATCTCTGTAATAATGTGTAATACTCTGTAATAACGTGTAATAACTTAGTAATAATGGTAACATTAGGTGTAATACCGGTAGTCAAGTGTACACGTTTTTAACTAGTAAATTCCCCCTCGCTTATAATTGATTTGTGCAGTGACTATCACGACATATTTATGGCTGCCACGCATGATCCAGAGCTGGATCCAGACATACATTTTTACTACAGTGTTATCAGCAGTATAATATATAAAAGGTCGAAAAAATATTTCTAAAAATGTAACTTTTTAATGTTTGTACGTCGATAAAAAATAATAAACATTGAATTTCAAATGATGCAACAAAATTATATATTGCAATATTATGTATTCATTGTTAGCAGTATTTTAATTGTCGAAATATAAATATCTAAAAATGTGCCTTTTTAGTGTTTGTACGTTGATAAAAAATAATATAAATTTAATTTTAAATTATGAAACAAAAGGAAATATTGATGCAGCTTAGTTATTAAATTTTAATCTAAATTTTTAATATACTGCATCTATTCCATAGACTCCATATCTCCACGCAAAAGCAAAGTTTACATGAAATAAATAGAAAAAATTTATATTTCAACTTTATAGTAGTTTTTTTTTATTATTCTACCGTGTTATCTATCTGTTGCCAGCGGTATATAAATAATCGAAATTTTAATTGAAACTAAAGTAGTCTAAAGAAGAATAAGGCAGAAGGTAACTATATAAATTACTTATCATTCGCTTGTATTTTCAGTGTAACACTGATGGTTAAAACTTGAAAACATAACCCCAGAATTTAAACTTTAAACTATCGAATATTCATCTGTCAAAATTTTTATTCACACGAATTGTTATTTGATAGCTTTTAATTTGTGTAATATCCAATTTTTAAATTTAATTACTTATTTAAAAAAAATTAATTACAACTTAACATAATCCTAAAATGCACTTGGCTAACTTTCATTTAACGAATTGTTTCGATAGTTAAGATAATTTTTCCTAAGCGTAACTTATTGCATCGAACTAATCGTCTCTGAGACGGATTATATCATTGATTTATAAATAAAGTCTGTGACTTATTTTGTAATTTAATACATTTTGTGTTTTTAAAAATAAAATAAAAATTTTAAATTTGTATAATAGATAAATGAACTACTTTTATTAAATTTCAGGTCATACAATGTTGCTACCATTTTTACCCCAAACATGTACAGCGAATTTTTGCACCTGTTTTTACACCATGATTTATTCATTTCTTTTTGGCTACTCGCCGGATAATAAATTTAATTTGGTTAGTATGAAGTACTCTATATTTAAAAGAATTAAGGAATATTTGTAAAATTAACATTTAATTCAAAAAATAATTATAAATTATTATAAACAATCTGAATAAATAATTTTAATTTAAAAAAAAAAATAATAAATTGAATTATTTTTTAAAGCAAGTAAAACCGGAGCCAGAGGTATATGATTTTATTGTTGTTGGTGCTGGATCAGCGGGATGTGTTGTAGCAAATCGACTCTCGGAAATCAATGATTGGAATGTAATTACAGCAAAAATTAACATTGTTACTAATTAGGATATAAAAAATTTTAAATAAAAACTAAATAATATTGAAAATTTGTAAAATAGGTACTTTTATTGGAAGCTGGAAAAGAAGAACCATTACTTGCAAATATACCTGGATTTTGTGCTTCTCTAGTAGGAACAGAATTTGATTGGAAATATAGAACGCAACCGGAAAAAAGTGCAATTGTAAATAATAGGAGAATAAATTGGGCTCGAGGAAAAGTGAGTTGTTTTAATGTCACAAAAATAATTTAAAATACAAAATTTCAAAACAAAATTTTTCAATTGGAAAAATTTTAGATAATGGGTGGTTCTAGTGCAGTAAGTGCCATGTATTACGTTCGAGGAAATAGAGAAGATTTTGACAATTGGGCAAGATTGGGAAATCCTGGATGGAGTTACGATGATGTTTTACCTTATTTCATAAGGTCGGAAAATAATTCAGATCGTAAGGTAAAAAAATTAGACAAAATTTTAATCAGTTTAAAAAAAGATCAAATAAATATTCATAAAAGAATTTTTAGATTTTGAATTAAATATTCTCTATTTAATTATACATTTTGAAATTATTTTTTTTAAGATTGTGGAAAATAATCCCGATTATCACGGAACAAGTGGATATTTATCAGTTCAATCATTTCCTTATCTAACAGAACCAGGTAAAATTGCAATTAAAGCTTTTCAAAAAGAAGGTTACGATTTAATTGATCCAAATGCTTCTAAACAATTGGGTGTAGCAGTAACACAATTAACACAGGGAAATAATTCTCGATCAAGTTCAAATATTGCATATATACGCACAATTAGAGACCAACGAAAAAATTTATATGTTAAAAGTCAATCGTTAGCGACGAAAATTCTAATCGATGCAAAAACAAAGAAAGCTATTGGTGTTGAATATATATCTCTCAAGACTGGTAAAACAAAAACAGTTATGGCAAGAAAAGAAGTAATTGTATCAGGTGGAGTTGTCAATTCCCCACAATTGTTAATGGTTTCCGGAGTTGGACCAAGTGAGGAGCTTAAGAAACATAAAATTGAACTGATAAAAGATCTTCCAGTTGGTAAAAATTTACATGATCATGTATCAGCTGTAGGTCTCTCGGCTAAGAAAAATATTACGAAACCTTCAGAGTCATGTGAAATTAAAACAGAAAATTTACTTACTTATTTAACAAAACGACAAGGACCCCTCAGTGGAATTAAACAAACCATGCTTATGGCATTTGCAAAAACAAGATTTGAAGATACAGATATTCCGGACATTCAATTTACTTTTGATAATATAGAGGAAAATGAAATTGCCTTCAAACCAATATTATTATCTCCAAAAAGTAGAGGACATCTTGCTCTTAATGAAGAAGATCCTGTTAGAGGGGCGCCTTTATTATATCCAGGTTATTTCACTGAAAAAAATGATGTGGAACGACTAATAGCTGGTATTGGACTCGCTATCGATATTCTTAATTCAACAGAAATGAGGAATAATGATTTTATTTTCGACGAAACACCCTTAGCAGCTTGTCAATCGTATGAATTCAATACTTATGATTACTGGGTGTGCTTTTTGCAACATAATTTTTACACTGATTATCATCCCGTGGGAACATGTAAAATGGGACCAAAAGAGGATCATCTAGCTGTTGTAGATTCAAGATTAAAAGTACACGGTATAGAAGGATTAAGAGTAATTGATGCCTCAATAATGCCTGTTTTGACTCGGGGAAACACTAATGCGCCGACAACTATGATCGGCGAAAAAGGAAGTGATATGATTAAAGCTGATTGGTTGTAATCTACTCTCTAAATCTGAATTAGTAGTTATCTACTAATGAAATAGTGCGTATTCATTTACCAATTGAATTAGTGACAGTTTTGACTAATTTTTAGTAAAAAAAACTACTAATTCAGATTAGAGAGTAAATAATAATTAAAAATTAATCTTTTTAATTAATTAACTTAGAAGAAAATATTTATAGATATAAATTGTGTTAATATAAATAAATATTTATCGTTTTAAATATATAAATTATATCTTCAGAATCTGAATGAAAAAATTTTAAAGTAGAGATTTCGTAATATTTTTCACAGAAAAATTGTTATCTGTGAATTTAGATTTAGAGCGAGTTTTCTCGTCGATAAGAATTCTCGATGAATAATAAGTTAAGCTAGGAATTTAAAATTTGATGGAATTATAAGTCGAAATATCCATAAGACGGATGTGAAATCAGATAAGATGAGACACCTGTTTTATATTGCATCAGTTTTTCCTCAAGCGATTTTTATTATATAGATATAAACATTACTTTTTACAGTTTCGCAAATTTTATGTAAAATGTTTATTGATAAATAAAAAAAAACAAATAATTGTAAATGTTGTTTAAAATATATTTACGAGTAATTTAGATAATATATATGGCAAATATATTTTTTTTAATAACAGATAAATATTCGTGAATAAGGAAATTTACATTATTAGAGTTTAAAGTGTCTGCATTCAGTACAGTTCAATCTGTAGTATTTAAAAAAAATTTATTATTAATTCATTTATTTTTTTTATAATAATAGATGAATTACTTTTAAATTATAACATTGTATTCACCTATTTAAACAAAATTTAATTAATATTGACAATGTTAACTTTCTTATCGGAAGCGCGCACAAATAATTTTTGTATTTGTCTCTATTCCATGATTGTTTCATTCTTGTGGAAGTATTCAATTGATCAAAAATTTAATTTGGTAAAGTAGGACATAATTTTTGAGCATATAGTATAATTATTGATTAATTTAAAAAAAAAACAATTAAATTATAAGCTAAAAAATAATTTTATATTATTAATATTATTGTTATTATTTTTGTCATAAAGCATGTAACTCCAGAACCGGAAGAGTATGATTTTATTGTCATTGGTGCTGGTTCTGCAGGGTGTGTCGTAGCAAATAGACTTACAGAAATAGAAAAGTGGAAAGTAAATATAATTGTGATTTAATTAATTAATAGAGAATAATTAAGAAGTTTTCATTCAGCGTTTGAATTTTTCATAATATATATAAGGTTCTATTATTGGAAGCCGGAGATGAAGAACCCGAGATAACAAGTATTCCCGGATTCATGACTCAACTACCAGAATCGAATTTATCTTGGAAATTTGAAGCCCAAAATAAAAAAATTAATTATTTTCCAAACGAAAATATTGCATGGCCTTGTGGAAAAGTACGTACATTCCTCAACTGTGATAAATTTATTATTATTTGGTTAATATGAATAATACACTGTACGTTATGTATAAAAATTATCATTCTACTTTACTCATAAATAAGTCATTAAAATTGGTAATTCATCCCAAAGGTAATGGGTGGAACAAGCGCCATTAATTCGATGGTGTACGTTCGTGGTAATCGCGATGATTACAATAAATGGGCACAATTGGGAAACCAAGGATGGAGTTATGATGAAGTATTGCCTTATTTTATAAAATCAGAGAACAATCGTGATCAAAAAGTAAGTGAAAAATACTTATCAACAAATTACAGTAACTTAAAAAAGGTTTTAATCAAAAGGAAATATTTATTTTAGAAAGTAGAACAAAATCCTAAATATCACGGTACTAATGGATATTTATCAGTAGAGACTTTTCCCTTTATAAGCAACGAGGGAAGAATTGTACAAAAAGCATTCGAAGAGATAGGATATAATTTCACGGACGTCAATGCTGAAAATCAAATAGGAGTAATGTTTCCGCAATCAACGACAAAAAATAATGTTCGTCAAAGTACAAATAGAGCTTTTATTCGACCAATAAGAGGAATAAGAAAAAATTTATTTATCAAAAATAAATCGTACGTAACAAAAATTATGATCGATTTAAAAACAAAAAAAACGAAAGGCTTGGAATATATTTCCCTTAAAACAGGAGAGAGAAAAATAGTTATGTCAAGAAAAGAAATAATTGTATCCGGAGGCACAATTAACACACCGAAGATATTAATGGTCTCTGGAATTGGTCCCAGTGACGAGCTTCAGAAACATAAAATCAATGTGATAAAGGATTTACCAGTAGGACGTAATCTCCAGGATCATGTTTCATTTCCTGGCATTTCAGCTCGAATAAAAGAGAATAATACCTTAGACAATATTAATTGTGAAGAAAATTTAAAAAATTTATTCAATTATTTTCTCACTAAAAATAGTACCTTTTCTACATTAGCACGAACAATGTTGTCAGGTTTTGTTAATACAAAATATTCTCCAAAAAAAACAATTCCTGATATTCAATTTACATTTCGTAATTTTACCGAGAATCAAGTAATCATAAAACCGGTTTTATTAAATCCAAATAGTAGAGGCTATATTGTTCTGAATGATAAAAATCCTATTTTCGGTTCTCCTCAAATATATCATGGATATTATTCCAATAAATCAGATATCGATACAATGATTGCTGGCATTCGGATAGCTTTCAAGATACTCAATGCCAATATAATGAGGAGAAATAATTACAAAATCGATAAAGTGCCTTTAGCAGCTCCTTGCAATAAATTCCGTTACAATCACGATGAATATTGGAACTGCACTTTAAGACACCATCCACAAACTGAATATCATCCTGTGGGAACGTGTAAAATGGGGCCAAGAGATGATCATAATGCTGTTGTTGATTCTAGATTAAGGGTTTATGGTATAAAAGGATTGAGAGTGATTGATGCATCTATTATGCCAACTATTCCAAAAGGGAATACCAATGCGCCAACTATTATGATTGCTGAAAAAGCCAGTGATATGATCAAGGAAGAGTACGGTTATAAAAAATAATTTTGATAACAATTTTTAATAATTTTTTTTTTTGGTAAATGTTTACCAACATTGTCATAAATATATCATTTTTTTTAAATATTTTAAGAAGCCTTAAAATTCCACAATAAGCAGTAAAATGTTAAAAATATATCTGGATAACAAAATTATCTTAATGATCAGGCTTACTTTGTTTATTATTTATTATTGTACACGGCATGTATTTAAAAATTTTGTGCGTGTTATTTTTAACATTTTTTGATAATAAATTATTTTTCTCACAATTCTTACATTTTTTTCCTTTATTAAATCTCATTTTATGAACAGTTTGCCAACACTCTTTATGTTTTAAAGTACTCGTCAAGCAAGGTAAGTGCAATAAATTATATATTATTTATATTTTTTCAAATTCAATTAAATTTTTTCAGATACAATAATGATACCATTCCTATCAGAGAGATGTACTTATTTTTACGCTATGATTATTTCATTCTTATGGAGTCACTCGGTGGATGACACGTTTAATTTAGTAACTATAAATATTTAATTTAATTAAACTGCTATCAATACCAGTGCTTTATTTTTTTTGTAATTATTTCAAGATCTATGTAATTAATTATAGTAACGCACGAAAATGAATTAAATTCAATTGATATATAATTTAAAAAAATTTTTTTTTCTCAAAAGCAAATAAAACCCGAACCTGAACATTATGATTTTATCATCGTTGGTGGAGGATCCGCAGGATGCGTGCTAGCAAACAGACTCACGGAAATTGAAGATTGGAAAGTAAATATATAATAATTTGTATGACAAATACAAAATTTAATAAAATAAATTCTCAACTTAATTTTTGTATTATAAATATAGGTACTATTGTTAGAAGCAGGCAAAGAAGAGCCAATGATAGCCGATATTCCTGGATATGTTTGGAAATTGAGAAATTCTTCTATTAATTGGAAATATAGAACACAATCAGAAGGAAATAATGAGCTAAATAAAATTAAAAGTATCTCATGGGCACGTGGAAAAGTAATGGGAGGTTCAAGTGCAATAAATATGATGGTATATATTCGTGGTAATAGTGAAGATTATAATAAATGGGAACAATTGGGAAATCAAGGATGGAATTATAATGCAATATTGCCTTATTTTATAAAATCAGAAAACAATCTGGATAAAAAAGTACGTTAATATAAAATTATTTATTTCCTTTTAGAAAAAAAATATATATAGAAAATTGTTTTTAGATAGTAGAAGAAAATCCAAACTTTCACGGAACGGGAGGATATTTGTCATTGGAATCATATCCATATACATCGGAAATGAGACAAATTTTGCAAAAGTCTTTTGAAGAAATAGGATACAGTGTAAAAGATGTAAATGCCGCGAGTCAATTGGGTTTGACATTTGGTCAACAAACGTCAAATAATCGAGTTCGTCAAAGTGCAAATGTTGCCTTTATTCGGCCAATAAGAGGAGTGAGAAAAAATCTCTTTATTAAAAGTGAATCATTTGTGACAAAAATTTTAATCCATCCAATAACAAAAAAAGCTGTTGGTGTGCAATACATTACTAAAACTGATGAAAGTAAAATAGTTTTTGCAAAAAAAGAAGTAATTATTTCCGGAGGTGTTATCAATTCACCACAATTATTAATGGTTTCCGGAATAGGACCCACTGATGAACTAAAAAAGCACAATATTACAATTGTAAAAAATCTTTCGGTTGGAAAAAATCTTCACGATCATGTAACGTTTACAGGTGTTTCTAGTATACTTAAGAAAAATATCTCAACAGATTTAAATTGCAAGAAAAATTTGGGAAATTTATTCGATTATCTCACGTCACGTATTGGTCCATTATCTTTAACAGACTACAAAATTGTTGCTGGTTTTGTCAAAACAGAATATGAGAAAAATCCCGAAATACCAGATATACAATTAATTTTCCGAGAATTAAGTGAAAATCAATTGACTATTGCACCTGTATTATTGGTTTCAGAGAGTAAAGGATTTATTAAACTAAATACTACAGATCCAGTTAAAGGAGCACCAGAAATATATGCAGGATATTATTCTCAAAAATCGGATATGAAACGAATGATTGCGGGAATACGAATTGCTCTTCGTTTGCTAAATTCCACAGAAATGAAAAAACACAATTTTTATATTAACGAAACATCTTTGCCACCTTGCCAAAACTATAGTTTCGATACTGATGACTATTGGGAATGTATTTTAATAAATGATCTTGATACTCTAAATCATCCAGTGGGAACGTGTAAAATGGGTCCAAAAGAAGATGCAAATGCTGTGGTTGATTCACGATTACGTGTTTATGGAATCAATGAATTGAGAGTGATTGATGCATCAATTATGCCAATTGTTACAAGAGGTAATACAAATGCACCAACAATTATGATTGCCGAAAAGGCTAGCGATATGATTAAAGAAGACTGGTTAAAGAGATAATTTTTCTAGAAATATTTTAAAGGAAGAATTCTTTTTAAACTCAAAAAAACAAGATTAATTTTTAAAAGAGCAAAAAATATTATAAAATTGTGTTTCTAATATTATGTAATGAAAAAAATTTGTTTTCCTGTATAAAGAATGTGTACCTCAAAGAGTTAAAAAATAGAAACATTATATTCTGGAAGATATTACGAGAAGGTGTTCATTAAACGTTCCATTTAACGTCATCTAGCGTTAATGAAAGCTGTAATTAACTTTTGATGTTACCTCTCTTTCACAAAGATGTAAATTATACTTCTATATTATAACTTTCAGTCTATCAGGTGTCTTCATTGATGAGTGAAATATTCCTTACATTATAGAAACTTTGTGTATATATATAGTGTGTCATATTACAATTAAAAATTTTAAACAAAAAATAAAATTAAATTAATAAAAATTCTTTTTTAATCAAAGCTTGACATTTTTAAGGTTTAAATTTCATGAAAAAGAGCACAGCTTCGAGAGAAGAAAAATCTATTACAACTCGTGGAATTTTATTATCAAGCGAAACCTTTCTGTTATTACATTTTCAAAATCATTTTATCTTTCTTTTAAAATTACCGCAATTGATCATGATTCCTGTTATAATCAATCTCTCTTTTCAATATTAACTTTGAAATTTCCTGAATAAAAAATATGTGTACACATATTATATGTAGCTATCATAACTTTATAATAGCTTCAAAAAAATTTTTTTTCCTTTCCCTCATATAAGTTTCTTTTCACTTTTAATTAAATATGATAAGAGTGACAGTTCTTCCTATCGAAGTTTACTTTGCCTAGAAGAAAAACGGAAGTGGGAAACTTTACCAACAAAAAAAGGAAAAAAAGAGAAAGAAGAGGAAAAATATAACAAGAAACAAGGTGAAGAAAAAAAGTTATGAAAAAACTTGAACCAGAAAATAAACGACCAAAAAAAAAAAGAAAAAACGATAGAAATAACACAAAAAATATATAGTTACAAGAATTTGCTTGACATAAACGAGATATATATTGTGGAATACAATTTTAATTCTCGAGATAGAAAAAAATGTGAAAAGGTGTAATAACAAAATATACACTCTGTTTATTAAAATTCTGACAAAAATACAGAAAATAAACGTAGAGTCATATTATACCAATTACGCTTTCTCACACCTATTTTTCTTACATATATATGAAACCTCGTGGGCGATCCATGTTGAGTGTCGGTAAACTTTTCTTTCCTAGGGGACTAAACAACATGTTGAACTCGCATTTAATATGGAATAAAAGGGAGATCCACCCTCAAAATTTACATTGCGAAATGTTTAGACTTTATAATTTCGGGAATTATTTGTTATTCACATATCCCAGCTGGTGCAATTATTTTCGAAAGGATTCAGAAAAAAATAGAAAATAATCTATAAAATAAGTAACGAACACTCTCTAATCGATTAATTAATAATTACCTAATAAATAAAATGATAATTAATCATACCATAAAGAAATAAATTATTTTCAAATGTCAACATAAAAAAGGTATTATTTTGTTTTGAACAATTGTAAAAATTGTTGCTCAAACAATCTCGATAAGTGTCAATAAATCGGGAGGTTTTATTTGCAAAATCGTAAAACGATTTATTGATCGCGTGGTATAAAACTCCCCTTTGATGCATATTATATAGGGATGGAAAAAAGGAGCGATGCGTGCAGTTGGTACAAATATTTCGTCGAATTAACATTGTCACCATCATGACATTAGAATTCTTAAATCAAGCATGCCGACAAATTAAACATTCCGAGGAGGGGGACACACGAGTGTAAACCTCTAATAAAAGCATTGGGGCGTCATCATTCCATTCGCATATAAGTATAGCAAACTCAACCCTCGACCTACCGCACCCCCACAGAAGACCAGCATTGAGTTGAAAATAATAAAAAAGAAAAGAGGGAGAGAGAGAGAGAAGTGATGGAATAAAAGAATCAAAGAGAGGGGATCGGTAACAAGAAGCTCGAGCGCTAAAAGCTACAAGGGTCTCTCTATATACTAAACATCTGGAAACTCAAAAGGTATAGGTTACTTTACCTGTTATTATGTATACACACATCGTCCTAAAACGATTTATAACTTTCTATTTTATGCAATTATAATAATAGACTAGATCATACACTTTGAAAATGAAATTTGGTGTATATAATAATAGTCTCTTGAAAAATGCACGTAATATAAGAAATCGAACATAAAGGAATAAAATTTGAAAATGATGAAATATTAATAAATTTCGTTTAACACAAGTTATCAATATTAAATTTTTCGAAAATGGTATTAACATACCTTGTTAAATATTTCTCTCTCAATAATTTGTGGTCCAATTATGTAAATATTAAAGAAAATCCATTTTTGAAAAAACCAATAACACTCTCTATCATTCAAAAGATAAGATAGCACCATGAACACGAATTGTTTGCACCATGACGAAGAGTCCTTCAATCTTAATGATCGCCTTTGTTTTTCTCCTTTTTTCATTTTCTATCTTTGGCTTTACTCAATCGAATGTGAAATTCATCAGTACTCTATAACAAAGAAAAACATTTTTTAAAATAAAATTTAAAGAATAAGTTAAAAAAAAAGTTCAAGTTAAATGAAAGTAAAAAATAAAGTTAAAAGCAGAATACTTTAAAGTACAAAAAAAGAATACAAAATAAAATTTTAAACAATAAAATTCTTCACACTTCATTAAATTTTGCTCTCTTTTATACCTTTTGTATAAATTTTGATGTATTGCTAAACTCGCTAAATGAGACCGAGACCGCTGTGTCTAAAGTGAAAAAAGAAGACTAGTTTTAATAATTTTTGGGTAATACATCATAATTCGCTAAACAACTTTAGGGACGTGTGCTCCATAGAAAAAATTCATAACGCCTCGATGACTACTTGTATTATATATATCAACTGCCCTACTTAGAAGGACCTTACAATGACGGATGTGAGAAGCTGGGAGGAGTAGAGGAACACTATTTTACCATGTTCCCGAAGTCTATTGATGAAAGCCGAACATAACAGAAGGAAGGAAAGAAAAAAAAAAGCCTGTCGCAAAATTTGTCAGAGGGTTGATTCCTTGTAACAAGTCCATATAAAAACATGAATGGTCACAATTCTATATTCACCTTCCTCTCTTCAACTTTTTTTTTTCGCATAGACATTCGCTATTCAATGCGGAAATATTCCAATTATCGGATTATTTCAATCAAAGCTATTCAGAAAAACCGCAGTTTGTTCCGAGAAAAAAAATTTTTTTTTTTTTCATTTCTCTGAATAACTTCAGAATTACAATGCGGTGATTTTTTTTCATACTCTAGTTATAATAATTTAAATTATCCACATTCTCTAAATTATCAATATATGGGTCAAAAAATAAAGAAACTATGGTAAATTATTGTTTGTAAAAATTGAGTTTTTTCATCTAATTTTTTTTTTTAAGTTAAAGTCGAATTAAATAATAAAATTCAAATAAAGAACCTATTATGAACGATGAAGTTTGATATAAACTTTGCGAACAAACAACTTTGAGAGCAGCTTTAGAGTTATTAGGTGAGAGTATTTAAAACTGGGAAATGGTGAAAGTTAATCATCCGTGATAATTATAGCACGAAAGTGTTGGAGTGTGTAGAGATGGAATAATAATGGATATAAAAAAAGAAGAAGAAGAGGGAAAAAAAGGGAATTTGCAATTTAATTTTTAATGAAATAGAATGAAAGGACGATTAGTTTTACGCACAATTTAGCTCGATTAAACTGATGTTGAAAACGCACCTGCACATCATTCTTTACTCGCGACCCTCGACGCATGGAATCCGTACAATATTGAAGCACATAGAATACAAAACAAATATGCGTTTGTCATGTCACCCGCTATATAAACGCACGCATATTACAAACACCCTGATATATAAATTTCCACCCTAAACATATTGAATTAAAAAGGATAACATCGCAAATTCATGGACTGACATATAGTCACGGGCGTCGAATCAAAATGCTTTAAAAACAAAATTTCCGACCTCTTATTCTTTGAAAAGATCATTTGTCATCTATTTTTCGATTTGTTTTGCTATTTATGACATTTACGTTCATTTAAATTATATATACGCAGTGATGTCATATCCTGTCTATAAATCTGAATTTAAGTAAAAAAAAAATATTTTCCCTTTCATGACATTTACGTGTTTTTACGTTGTTTATACGTAGTAATGTCATTCTATTCACTAGCTAAATCTGAATAAATAAAAATGACTAATTTGAATTTAAAATACTAATAGAATTAAAATTATTTTTAGAAAAATATAAAATACAATTGGAATTGAAGTTGTGTGTCTACACCATTGGATATAGAGCATACAAATCAGAGGGGGGTAGTGTGTCCTTTAACCCTGTGTACGATGAACACGTGTGCGATTGAATATTTCGCCATGGTCTTAAACAGGAATGTTGAACTTGGTGACAAGCGTTAATGGGCGCTATAATATGTATGCGTATAATATGTACACATGAAGCTAATCAGAATCATTAATCCAATCCACACATAAAACATCCTTTCAATCTCTATATACATATAGACAGAAGCAGCAGTTGGCTTAAATTATTTAATGAAGATGATTATAACGTTTAATGATTAAAAACGTTTCAACAAAACTGATTAGCGTCAAATTAATAATATTCCCTATATCACATTATTATATAACGATCGAATAAATTGACTAATTAATATTGACGTAATTTCCTACAATTTCCTATTTTAACAATTTTCAATTATTTTTCCTTTCTTTAAAAATTCCTCAAAATCAAATTACAATATTTTGATCTATAATTGTTCAAAATTGGCGAAATTTCCTGCAAACGTACACTATAATTATTTGTATGCGGTTAATCAGAAACATGAAATAGAATTGTTAACACAATTCTGTATTTGATTGCGGAAAGTACCCTTTTGTTGGAAAATACATGAGACACTAAAATATTTATTAAAATATTTTATTTCCTATAAAATATCAACTATGCAAGTATTTTAATTTTTATTCTATTAATTAAATATTCAATAAGGATTATAATTTTTTTTATGAACGTTTGACAATAATTATGAATTTAATTTCCTATTCCGAGTTGTATCTCTTTTAGAAGCACAATCCTTTTATAAATTATGCATCATTAATAGAAATGTTTTAAGCGAGCCATAGTAAAAAGAAAACTTGGAAATTAAAATCTCCAGAGCAACACTTTAATCTCTCATTCCAATTTATCTTTCTTTTCACTTCTTTTCATTAGTTTCCACTTTGAATTGAAATTGATGGCGTACTAGGAAAAAAAGAAAACTAAGAAAGAAACATGTTTACAACTTTCAGTAGATAAATTACCAACACACCGTGTCAATTCGATTCAAAGTCCAATGATCGA